AACAACCCCTGCACTTCACTGTCTCTCCAGAGTGAGGACTTGAGGACTGAAGCTGCCTCACAAAAGGAAATCGGATGTAACAAGGAACAGTTGCTCTGCACATGCACTTCAACCTGCAATACCTGACAGATCTTCCCAACAATTCTCTAAAAAGAATCACACTGAAAGTGGCAGAGAAGAGAGAAATGAACACATTCAGGGTCTGAACGTTCCCCTCTTTTTGCTGATAGTGCAATGCCTGCTACACAGCTGCTATTCTTCCTTAACATAGTGCACAGTGTATTCTTGCTACCCACCAATGTCTAATTAACCAAGATGAATGGTTCCTAGCCACACAATTACCCTGTTTTAGCATCCTGAAGATTCTCATTACACTCATTTATTGGTCCTCATTAGTCCTGCCTGATTTAAAGACAGGATTTCTGAGATCTTTACCCTTTTGAAGATCAGTTCAACTACAGAATAACCGTTTTATAAGGATAAACTTTTCTGGCTACCCAAAGTTTCTTTTTAATACTTAAATCATTACTGCCAATACAGACAAATACATCAATAAAGTAGCATAAGTTTATTAGAGCCCCATTTTTTTTTTTCCTTCTAAAACCTAAAAGAAAGTTGCAATGATCCCTTAAACCCAATGAAAAGAAAAAAGTCTACAACCAGGAGGAGTAGGTAATACCTACTTTCATTATAGAAACAGCACAGAATTGTAAGAGAAAAATAAACACTTGATTCTTGCAAGATGGTACGTGTGAGAATGAAAAATCACTACATAGAAATTATAGCATAATCACTACATAGAAATTATAGCATGAGACTGTGAGAACAACTCAGCTACACTGCTTTCATAAATGGTAACTGCCACAAAAATGCTAGGATACGAATCTGGCTTAAGCAAATCCATTACACATTTTGCATTGCTGAGACTCCTGCCAATTCTATCTGTGCTCAATACAAGAGAGAAAAAGAACAGCTTCCTGTAGCTTCCTGTGTTACAGACCACGTGGATGACAATGAGGGGCCTGCATATGCTTCAAATGCTATTCAGGCAATTTCAACTACATGTCTCAGACATTCCTACATAAGACATATATATACACATATATCCCTCCTCTGCCAGCTCTTAGGGGTTATATCAGGGATGCAATGCCAACTGCACAACCTAAAAAATTAAGAATAGCTGTGTTAAGGTAAGACTAAAAGCCCTTTACCAAGCATGCATATGAGAAGTGCAAGAACTGTGCCAATAGAACAGTGTATCTGCAGAATACTCTCACAATTTACAGACATCATCCCACATCAAAGGTGGTGACTGTACCATCGCTTATCTTCTAAAAGCAAAGAGAATGTTCTCTGCTTCACACAGTGTTTTCTGTTTCTGTTTGCACCATATGTTCAAGATAAGGAGGAATGACATCCAAGTCAGCCTAATAGCTTCAGTATTTATATACAATGATATGTCCTTCAGAGGCTAGGTATTTCTACACAGTCTGTATAAACTTATGGAATGGATTTAGGTTCTTTCTCAGTATTTCAGCTGTTTTTTAATTTGTCCTAAAGGCCGACCCCAGAGCCTCATAGACAACTTTAAGATTATTCCTGAAGATGGAAACAGCTCCTTTTATCAACAAGCTACTCTCCTGATGGGATTTTAATGTGCAGAAGACCAAAAGTGAAACACCCACAAGGAAGGCGCAGTGAAGCAGGCAGTCCTTCTGACACAAGCCAATATTTATTATCCTGTTGGAATACAGGAAACAGAAACTCTGCTTCCAACTGGCCAAGCCAACAGAAGTGGCAACCTCCACACTATGCACTCGCTCCCTTTTCCTCTCCCAGCCCTTCTCCTCAACAACATAAACTTTGTTCCATGTTGGGAAAAAGACCTTTCATAGTTATGCAGGATGCTCAAATATACAAGCTGAGCCTTGCCTTCGAGCTGCTGTTCTTTTTTTATTCAGCAGGGATGACAATGAGATGCTCTTGGCACTATTATGAAGTCCACATTTTTGTCTGATAACTTACCTATTTTTTGAATTTTGATTTTCTGTCTATTCAGGTAAAAACATAGCCCCACACAAAAGCATTTTTTAATAGAGCGTAATAGAGAGCATGGTTCAACACAAATAATGGAAATGAGGGAATATGGCAGAAGGGAATATTAACAGATAGCTATTGTGAGATGCTGGCTCAAAAAATACTAAGACAGCCCAGAAATATCCCCACAGAATTTGACCTTTTATGCAGCTGCACAGAAGAAAGTAAACAACAAATTACACTTTCTCAGATGTGTAAATACAAGTACTTAGAAGCAGTCTGTCACTATTTGAAAAGCTAGTCTGAACTAGATATTCCTCCTGTATTATGAAAGGCATCTAACATCAGAGTATTCAGATTTCTGTAACAGAAAGAGGAAGCTACTGTTTGTCACTCAAAATAAATAAATAGATAGATAGATACAGCACTAAGATCAACACAGATGATACGAAACATTAAATGCAGCAACAGTGATTATGTAACAGCACTTGGACAAGCTTTTTTAATTTCTAAAACTTGGGGTAGAATATGAAGTTCACAAACTATTCCAAGCCAGCATATTCTCATAGCATTAGAAGCATAAAAGCACACAGAAACAAAGCAGAAAGGCGTGAGTTTACTTTTCAGTGACGTAGCTGTGATGCACCAACTCTTTGGCAGAAACAGAAATATCAGTACAACATCTGCATAGTCTTGTCAATTTTTCTCACAGCTGATAATGGGTGAAGTACACCCTCAGTAAGTTTGCTGATGATGCGGAGCTGGGAAAAATGGCTGGCACCATTCAGAAAGGCTTTGCTGCCATTCAGTGAGACCTGGACAGGTTGGAGAGATGGGTGGAGAGGAACCTCACTCATGAGATTCAACAAAATCAAGCATAGAGTCTTGCACCCACCTGAGGAGAAATAACCTCATGCTTGAGTACAAGTTAGGGGATGACCTGCTGGAAAAGAACTCTGAGGAGAAGGACGTGGGTGTCCTGGTGGATGACAGGCTGGCCATGAGCCAGCAGTGTGCCTTCTTGGCTAAGAAGACCAATGGGATCCTGGGGTGCATTAACAAGAGCGTGGCCAGCAGGTCAAGGGAGTTGATTCTTCCCTTCCACTCTGCCATTCTAAGGCCACATCTCTATCCACCTTTACCTAAATTTCAGTAACATCTACCACTGGTTTTACCACGCACTGAGACAGAGACTCATATATTCCACTACTTTCATGTCACAGACTAAGATTTACCTGGATGCACGCAATGAATGGTGGGAAGTAAGAAAGGCTTGTACTAAGGAAATGATTGAAGTCCTTCAGCAGCTTCTGGATGATGACTTTTTTCTCAGAGAGAATTTTAGATTTTTCCACCTCATGAAAAATTCCACCAAACAAAGTGCTGAAAAGTTGCTTGGCAAATGTTGGATCTTTCTGTAAATTGTAAGAAAAGCAATACAGTCACTGAACTTAGCTGTGACATAGTAAAGTAATAATTAAATAAGAAACATGAGCCATCCTCTAACCTAGCCCCTACATAGATGCTTTTGGGAGTGGAAAAATTGCTCTGGTGTGGCCAGCTTCTATACTGGCAATTATTTCAGACTTTCTGTACAACAAATTCAAACTCTATCTTAATCCTTCTATATATACTGGAAGACATTGTAGGTTTCATGCCATAGTGTTGGCATGTCAGGGGAAAATTTACAGTTTTCACATATTCACAATTCCTGCTACAGTAATCAGAAACTCAGTATCGTCTTATGGCCAATGAAGAGGGCTTTAGGAAAATAAACAAAAAAACCCAGAAGATGTCAATGTGTGAGAAAATCCAGCCCCAAACATTGTGGAGCTAGTGGAGAGAGATACAGGCATATAGATAGCACCATCTGAGATTCAAAGGCATTTCTTCAACCCAGAAACATACTTGCAAATGTAATATAATCCCATACACTGTGGTCTATCACAGGACTGGAGTTAGGTCTAACTCCTGATCTCATGTTGTTCAGATAACTCATGATTGCACTACTTCTCCCCTTCACACAGAAATAAGAGACCATCAAAAGAAATTAAATACAAAAGATAATCAGGAATACTGTGACTTCTCAAACGTTGCAAAATATAAGTTCAGCTTATAGTTTCTGCCATTCCCAGATAAGAAAGGAATATTGGATCAGCTTTACTGACTCGTCTAAGTCCATCCACAGAACTTCACCCTTACTTTTACTACTGCACTGCAGCCATGTGAAAGAACAAAAATGATAGTTTTGTTATTATACAGTGAGATGTCCTTTCCCAATAATGTCTCTAAAACCATTTGTTTCTCAAGCCCAGGAACTCAGAGGCAAGAACAGCTGATATCCTAGATCCTCTGTGTTCAACTGCTCAGGTGAGGCAATCTACAAGGCATCTTCTCTCATCACTGTTCCTGTTAAAGCACAAAAAATGACATTTGAAGAGCAGACAGACCTGGGCGAGGCCCTGTAGAGGGGCAATGAAGCTGGAGTGTTCAATCTGGATGTCAGGAAGGTCTCCTACACGGTAACTTCTGTACAAAGTAACCTGGCCATCAAACTTCATCTTCAGCTCAGATTTCATCTCCTGAAATGCATTGCTCACGTTAAAGAAAAAAGTCATTAATTAGAAAGAGCTGTATCTAGACAGGACATTATAAGCAAGAGTATTTTTGTAGTGTTTTGTAAGTTTCTGCCATAATTATTAAACAAATACTTTAAAGGTGAAATATGGTTAAATGCAAAATAATCAGTTAAGAACTCCAAAGCCTCTTCCACAGAGTTACTTTAGTCATTTACTTTTAATTTTAATGTCCTGTAGTTCCTGCTTTCATACACGTAGTACTGTAATGTTTATTTTATTTATTTATTTATTTTAAACAGAGAATAATTACTTTCAAAAGCCAGTGAGCAATTACAGTGTAGTAAATTACTGCCTGCCAGCTGAGTCACACCATGCTGATGAAGGTTCTCAGAGCCTGGCCAAAAATGAGCAAAGTAACATGAGGTTGCTAAAGTGACTGTTTTATTTCACACAGTGGGATGGGAAGGGAAAGTAAGGAGGATGATTGGAAGAACTGCTTCCTAATAAACCAAACTGTAATAAAACTATTGTAAACTAGTGGTTACAAAGCTGTCTTGCCCATTGCTGAGGCTTGAAGAAATTCAATTCAATTGAACAAGAATTACTAATACATATAGATAAAATCCATCTCTTCCTCTTTATTTTTTTTCCCCACACCATGGACAGGCTATAAAGGAAATCAGCAGTGATTATAAAGCCCAGAATTTTACTTGTAACTCTTGCCTTTACCAGTTAAACTGGCAGACTATGGATGGATGCATACACTGATATAATGAAAGAGGGAAAGAAAAAGAGCTTGACTATTTTTAATTCTCTTTAAACATTTGGGATGCTGTCATTTCAGATAATTCTTATTCTGAGCTTGAAAGGGATGATTATCAAAAAAACTTCCAAGAGAAATATCCTGGGAGAAATTAAGATATTAGGTCTCTGCTAAAGCCATCTCCAAATACTTTCTTGCTCAGGATCTCCTTTTTCCTGTTGACCTATGAGGTATGGTACTAACATAATGCACAGAGATCCATATGTGTTTATGTGCAACAGATCTCTTGGAAAGTTTAAGGGGTCTTGGCTACATTTATGGTCTCCTCCAGTCTTTTGGTGTGGAACACCAGATTTTTTTCATTTGTTTTTGGACTGTCATAGTGAACATGTTTTTTTTAAACAGGTTCTTTCTCTTGCAGAGTAGGAGGAAAGGGGAACTTTGGTCTATAAGTAAATAAACTGACAAAAAAAATAGGTGTTTGTGTGATACTTCCAGACATAGGTTCAACTTACACAGCTGTCTGCAGCTGCAAAGAATTACAAGTATGTCTCAAAAATTAACTCTTAATCCTCGGTTCCTTTGTTCTTCTTAAACTGCTATCATTTTTGGACAATAATACATTTTATTTTAGTCACATGAACCTTTGAAAAACTGCTAGAGTCTATTTAAACTAATTATGAATATGTAACAACCAAGAAACCCACACAGCACCAAGCTTTAATAAACACTCAGTAAATGCATATTACTTACTGAGCTTCCTTCAGATTGAAAGTCCTCAACAGCTCACATTAGCCCATTGGCTGTATCACATTTTTGAGTTTACCTTCAGACAATGGATAAGTTTCTCTGCTTAGACTACTTCTGCAGAGTATTCTTACTTCAGGGTTTCTAGTTTTTGGGATGACAAGCATAAAGAGCTTCTACTGGGAACATCTCCTTTTGCTACCAGGGATTCCATCACTTAAAATCACTTTGTGCATACTGAAGAACAGAAGTGTTATCTAGCTCTATTCTTCCTCCTGTTAAGTATCATCACATAGATCTTAGCACAAAAATAGCACAATTTTTAAACAAAATCTCTTAAAGCTCTTACAGTAGCAACCAGTACCTTACACCTACCCTTTCTTCATCCAATTACTTCTAGAGATGAAGAACAAGACTGTAAATGGCACTGAGGCTCAAGGTTTTAAACTTAATTGAAATGACAAACCTTTTCTCTTTTCTGTTCAGCCACACCTTTTCTAGCATAAATCAGACTGACTTTCTCTTGGTCCTTCAAGAAACGCCTCCGCAGTCTTAGAATTTCTGCTCGTTCATCTATACCTAGGCATAAAATGGAACAACACCTTCAGTTCTTTTGTCTCACTATTTAGCAATTCAGCAATTCTTAGTGCAATCCTACTTTTCTGCCATACTTTGTGCAGCTATCAACACACACTCCTGGAAACTGGAAACCAGATCTGTAAAATTCAATCTCAGATAGAATGGTAAAAGACTGTCAGCCAAATAAGTGTCAAAGACGGCCAAAGTGTAATGTAGAAATTGCACTGTAAGGTCTACACACCTTTAGTTTTGCTGTCCACTTTATCACCAGGTAAACTCAGCCTTTTTTTCCCAAAATCTGGCCCCACAGGTTTAAAGGCTGCTTGTTTAAATTTTTCACTCCGTTTGTTAACTAACAGCATGGATGAAGACAAAGACTCAGAGGAAGAAGGAACCGTATACTCTGCCAAAGTGTCAATGCTGTTTCCAGTTAGCCAATTAAAAGAACTTCTACCACCTGTAAAGAAAAAGAGCAGAAGAGTAACATCAGCATAAACCAAATGTAAACTTTTACAGAGCACATCAATTTCCTCCCCTAGAAATATAACTCCCAGTGTTCATAAGCAGAACGGATTGCAAGAAACACTTTTACATTAGGCAGAACATTAAAGGTGTATCAGACCAATAAAAATGTGAATAAGTCTTTTTCTCATTAAAAAATAAAAGCACTTAAATACTAAGTATTAAGTGTACTTACACTTCTGCATTAAAAATTCACATGCAACAGGAATGAAAAGAATGGAATCATTCTTACAGTAAGCAACAAGATTTCAGAGGCCCCAAGTCTGGACTTACTGACATTCTGTGTAGGTGTAAATTCATATTGCCTTTGGGTAGCTCTCACTCGACCACCCACTGACCCAGAAACGGAAAGGGATCTTTCTTGTGATGAATTCCTGTTAGTACTCTGTGAAGCCTGAGTCTCCACAAACATAGGTGTGAGCATAGTACTTCGATAACGCCAACTGGAATCAATTACAAAGTCCTATAAACATACACAAAAATTAATAGAAACAGTAAGAGTGGAGGCTTTTTGCCTATGAAAGACAGGACAGCAGAATGGAAGTACAGAATCTAAAACATTAACCCAACTAACTTGGGCAAAACTTGGGTATTAAAAAAAAAAACAAACAACACAATTCCTCCCCATAGCTCAGCAAAAAAGCTTGCTGAAATTTGGACTGGTTAGCTCAAGATTAATTCATAAATTTGCCATGCATAACCCAGCACTGTTACAGGTGTTAACTATTAATTCCAAAAAGCACTTTCAATGGTCTTCACTCTGTTCTGGTCAAGCAGCAGCTACATTAGGGACTGGAATTTGTCACATGGTTGCACAGATGATAACACACTACTACTTACCTGAAATTTGCATTCAGATAGAGGGTGCTCAAATATTTTTCTGGAATAATCTGGGCTTTTGCTGGTCATTTCAAGCAGAAAATTTGTGATCAGACTCAAGTACTGTGTTTCAATCTTGGCAGAATATAAAGAACTTAACAACATCAACATACGATCAAGAATATTTGCAGGTAATCTTGTCTCGTCACTCCAAAAATTCCTAACAATTAATCTGTAACAGTAAGAATGAGTAACTTAATTCCTTATCTGCAAACAGAAAATGCAACATTTCCAAAAAAGATCAATTTTAAATAAAACAATAACATAACAACGTCAACAATTAAACCTTTCAAACCATGGATCTTCCGTTGAGTTACATGGACTTGCACATTCATCTCCCATGCTTTATACCATTTAACTGATATTATAAAGGTTTACTCAAAAAATAAATATTTGTATTGTTTTCCTCTCAAGAAGTGCTATGGGTGATTAAGAACAGATCTCCAATCTTCTGCTTCACTAAAAAAAAAGTTAAAGAGATTCAACATCCTCCAACACTGAATCTATTTATGCATCTGTGTATAGCAAGAGCCTTATTCAAAAACTTCAGAAAGTTAATGCAGAATTAGGACCAACCCAGTCAAACAATTTCTCCATGGCTTAGAAATTTGCTGAATAGTTCTGTGATTCACCATAATTCAGTGTGAAGCTATGGGACACAATTTTATAAATTAACTCATTGCAAGAAAAGGAAGTAGCATTATCTTAATGTCACACTTTCATATTAAAATATCTTAAAACATCTAATTATTGTTTCTCATATTATAAACAAAGGAGGAGCAATTTAAGGACTTATTACTTCAGTCATCACAACACTGTTTACTCACTGCAGTTCAGCATTCTCATCAATCAGTCCCTGAAGCAGGATTTCTTTTGCCAGTCCGCGCACTTCCTGAGAATCATCATCTGCTTGGCTTTCTGGATCACTGACATTAGGAGAAAAATGTCTCTTAATGACTTCTCACAAAAAATGCATTAAAGAAAAAACAAACAAGAGGACGAGGATGGCGGAAGAAAAGGAGGAACTGCCCTTATTAATATAAAAAGTCTCAACTTGGCATGACAACACTTTTTTCATAATATGAGGTCTTCATTTCCAGAAGTGGCTTGTCTCTCCACCATTTAGAAAAACAAAAAGTCAGAAAGCTAAAAAATATGTTGTTAGGTTTTTATTATAAAGTCCCAGCAGAAGTAATGCTGAGTTAGCAAGGTTAAAAAAGAGTAAGATCAGTGGCATCTTTTCCCAAGTGACACTGCAGTAAAATTGCCTGCATGTTCTTCACTAAAATCATCCATTCTAACAGTAAACAGTTATCTTGGGCAAAAACATAGAACAGAATCCAACCAAGACAGAGGATACAACAGCACGCTCTTTCAAGAACACACTGTTTTCTAAGTCAAACAAAGAACATCCTCACATCACCAGATTGAACAGATTCAGATCGTGCCAAAGTGCCTTAATACACCTCCTGACTACAATCAAATTTCTATAGCATACAATTCTTACTACAGCTATAAACACTGCCACAAGAAAAAAAAAAAGTGAGAGCATCAGACTAAGACTTCTTACACCACTGTGCTGTGTTGATGCAGTATTCTAGTTCTGGGCTGAAGTTCAGGTCCAAGTCTTTGTCCCTTAGTTTAAATTATTAAATCACCATGAAAGAAGGTCCGAGGCAACCCACTAGAGCTATTTGTTTGAGAACTAGAAAATCCCACATAGAAGGACATAAAATTGGAAGACAATGTTAACAGATGCTTTCAAACCACTGAAAGACAACTGCAGTGAATACATACCTGTAATTATCATAAATCCACATCAGAATATCATACATGCGCTGTCGACATATTACAGAAGGGTGAGAAATGAACCCTGTCACTCCAGGAAGAAGTTCTTTAAGTTCTGGTGGTTTCAGTGTAGACAGCATCTTGTATATTATATCCAAACAAACCCTTTGTCTTTCATCATCCCTAAAGTTGAGAAAGGGAGAGAAAACAAAAATTAAAGATTATTACCTTCTTCTCTACACAGAGAAGATCAGCTTAGATTTTACCAATATCTGCTTTCATGTAAAGAGCTTCATGTAAAATACTGTAAATACTTTTGAGTTCAACCTAGAAGTAAGAATAAAACTAAAGCAATACATACTAAAGATGAAATCCATACCCTAGTGAATAGGAGTTGATGTTTCACCTTAATGATATATAGGTGGGTTTTTTGTTGTTGTTTTTCACATTGAGTTAACTATCTTATACTTAACACTCAGATTCCATTTGCTCAAACAATGAGAGCAATAAGCAAAACCAAACGTGACCTCCAAATGCATCCAGAGGTATAAACTTCTTGTGGCCACCACAGGCAATGTTATCAAAAGGCTCACACTACTTATTCATGCTTGTAGCCATGTGACCACTTACCTGTGTTTCATGATCTGGATGAAGTCTTTACTCTTTAACTGCAGATAAAGATCAGGTATTTCCTCCGCTCGGCACATAATTACTTCCAGACAATAGTTTTTCATCACACCATGAAGTTTTGGTATTAAGAAGAATACTGCATTCATAAACCTTAACATGAACATAAGCCCATGAAGAATAGCAAGATAGTTTCTATTATTCCTCTAGATCTACAATGAATTCACCATGTAAATTATGACATACCTGTCGGCAAGAGGAGGAAAATTCTTAACAACTTTATTCAAGCATATTATAAACTTATCCTGTTGGGAGTTCTGATGATGTTTTAATTGTTTTATGACACAATCATAAACTGGATCTTCAAGTATCTGAGAATTAGAAAGACAGTATGACATACATAGCCATGAAACCCAGAACCACATTAACAACACACGGTACTGTTGCTGTACTGTTTGTTTCTACTGCACTTTGCTTCACATTGACCTTACACTGCTTCACAGCTGTCCTACAGTAATGACTAGCTGAAACACAACTGCTTCACAATGCCTTTCTAAGCTTTCTTTGGCTTTGAACCAAAATCTTAAATTTGAAATACAAGCTTATATAAATAGTAACTATTGAGTATGGTAGATTTCCAACTAGTGAATGTAAGAAAAAGGCATTTTTACTGAAGATGTTTAGTGAATGAAGCAGCAGGCTTCACTAAGTGTCAAATAAATTAGCTTTGAATAGGATAAAATATTTCAACCATCTTTGCTACTTTATGCAAAACATTGCTTTAATAGAATTTGAAAAACTATGGGAGAGGATGTTGCAGGAATTCAGTTTAGAAAAATATGCTCTAGAAACTGTAGAAGAACAAATAGAATGCAATTTAGTGGGGAATAATGCAGAAATATCCTGTGAGATTGGAGTAATAATACACCGAGCCAATAAGTTGGTATTTCTATAGTAGCAGCTGCAGAATGATATTTAGGAGTTCATAAGCCTGGCAGCATTGTATCTTTTTTTTCTTTCACATAAATCCCAGCACATATCCAACATTAGCTCTTAGAGTATACATTGCCTATTGCTTTTAAAAGTAGTCAATGGGCTTCTTTTGTGCATAAATTTGCCTAATTTCTTTCTGAACCTGCTGATGCTACCTACCTCCACAACTCCCTGTGATAACTAACAGTTCTGTTAAGAGATATTTCCAGTATCTGTCTCAAATTGATTTCTATGAACATCAAGCACTATCTCTTGGTGCCAGCACTATAAAATTGAGCGAGTAACTGGTTTGCATTCATTTCACCCACACTCTAGAAAATAAGTGGATTCATTACCCACGAGAGCTCTAAAAGCCCCAAATTAAATATAGTAGCCTTGAATCTTACATCAAAACTTGTCAGTTACTAAACATTCTCAGACACAGATGTTCAAAATATAGCCCCAAACCTTCCAACTTTTAATTTTCTTTTTAAATCAAAAAGTGATAAAAACAAGAAACTCCAAAACTTTAAGATGTACACACACAAGTGTACACAGGAGCAGAACAAAGCCCGTTCACCTCTAGCTCCAAAACAACAGGGTAGAAACTCAGCTCTTAGTTGATCTAAAGCATTTTTCATTTGAGTTAATTAGTTAACCTTTTAATCTGTTGGACAAAGGCTGCTGAGTTCTAAAACCATAAATTTTTGTAGCTGAACTGAGCAGCCACATATTGTAAATATGTAAACATATTTAAAGACAGTAGTAGTCACACACCTAATACAGTTACTTACATTTTGTCTCTCAGCTATATACTGAAGAGCAAGTCCCAACACCTCTGCTGCAGCTGCATAAACTTCTTTATACCTTAATAAACCCATGTTACTGATCAGAGCCTGAAAATACCTAGCACAAAAAGCAGACGTGTTATAAGCCACCACTCCCGCATTTGCTTTTACATTGAAAAACTTTTGAGCTGTCTAACAGCACAATGACTACTTTCAGAACAGATCAATATGGCTCAATACTGATTCCCACCTACAGTGTCTCAAATCCTTGCTTTGGCAGTTCCTGACTCTGTTAATTCCCATGAAATTGCAGTCCTAGGTCTCACTGTAATAAAGCCTACATCCTTCTCAGTGTTTTCCAAAACAAATTAGCTCTGCATTTCATAGATTCATACGATATCTCAAGTTGATGATTCTTGTGTATCCCTTCCAACTCAATCTCTTGATTCCACATAGGACCACCCAAAATTCAAACCATATGTCTTTCCTCCAGCAGTTCGGGGCTGTGCCCACTGCCCTGGGCAGCCTGATCCATGCTCTCTGCCCTCTGGTGCAGACCATTTCCCTCATCCTCACCTGACTCTCCCCTGATACAGCTCCATGCTGTTCCCTCTGATCCTGTCAGTGTCAGCAGAGAGCAGAGCTAAGCTCTGCCTATACTAGTGCTGCTAGTATAGGAAGGCCTTCTACTCCCTGTGAGTAGCTGCAGCCACCATGAGGCCTCCCCTGAGCCTCCCCTGCTTGAGGCTGAACAAACCAAAGCCACTCCTCACACACTTTTTTCCTCCAGACCCTTCACCATCTTGGCAGCCTTTCTCTGAATGCTCTCTAAAACTTCTATGCCCTTCTCATATTGCGTGCCCAAGCCCACACCTGGTGCTAGAGGTGAGGCCACACAGGGCAGAGCATAGTGGCACAATCCCTTCCCTTGCCCATTGTGCAGTGCTGGGCCAGATGCACCCGAGGGTACAGTTGACCCTTTGGGCTGCCAGGGCAACTGCTGACTCACATTGCACTGCATTAAGACTAACAGGCCTGTAATTACTAGGACTTTCTTGTCCTTCTTGAAAACTGTGATGACATTTGTCAGCTTCCAGCCAAGTGGGACTTCTTCCTGTTCTCAAGGTTACTGAAAAATAATTGAGAGAGGTCTCACAATGACATCAGCCAGCTTTTCATACCTTGGGATGAATCCCATCAGGCCCCATGGACTTATACGCATAAAGCCAGAGCAGCAAGTCCTGCAGAAGTTTGGAGCTGGCTGGGAATTTACCATTATTGCAGTCAGGGTCTTCCAATTCAGGGCTCCAGGGATTCCAGAGTCCATTGTCAGTGTTGTAAACAGGCAAAGAAGGCATTAAATGTCTCTGCTTTATGTGTGGTCACCTCATAAGTCGGGACAATCTCATCAAGTAATGGAACAATGCTATCTCTGGTCTTTCTTTTGCAGTTAACATATTTAAAGAAGCCCTTCTTGCTGCTGGCCAGCATCCACTCTAATTGAGCTCTGGCCACACAAATTTTCTCACTACAATAGCAACCAGTATTCCTGGTTGCTGCAGTCCTCCCACATTGCCTGATCTTGCTTCCAGTGTCCACACACATTCTTCTTCCACCTAAGCTCTGGAAGAAGTTTGCTCAGCCAAGTCAGCGTACTGCTCTGTCTGCTTAACTTTCAACATCAATTCACATCTTGTGAACTAGTTCCCAACCAGCCTAAAGTCTGCACTTCCCACATCCAGGGCTAAAGCTTTGATAGTAGTGTTCCCTTATCACATCAACAACTTCATGGCAGTACAGCCAAGATGGACGCTAGTCACTACTTTACTTACAAAACTACCTCCGTTAACAAGCAACAAATTGAGAAGGGCACATTTCCTAGCTGGTTCTCTTAGTACCTGTACTAAGGCAGTATCACCAAGTTTACAGATAAAAAAGCACAGCGACAGACAATAGTAAAGGGATGATGGGTCAAAAAGTTCCCAATAAATGAACAATATAACTCCAATATTTTATGCTGACAAGAGTTGCTCTCTTAAGCTTTTAAGAAAATTTGTTCTTCAAAGTGTTTGCATTTCTCACCTGACACGATCTATTTCACACTTCAGGTCATAGGGAGGTAAATTGTTAGCTAGAACAATTCCCAGCAGCTGAATTCCCACTGAGTTGTCCTTTGTATCAGGATCTCCACTAGAAAACTTTTCAAATATTAAGCTGATGGATAAAAAACATAAAGGTAATTTTATACACACACACACACACACATATATATATATACACATATATATATATATATTTGACAAACCCCAAATCACTCAATCACTTTCTTTGTACATGTATATTCACACACACAACCCAAAAACTCTATAGAAAACAAGTGCACATATATGTATACACGCATGCGTATGTTCTTCCAGCAAAAGTAGAAAGCAGAAATAAAAACTAGCTTCAGAGAAATCTTCACAGATTAGAAATCGTTAGCCTACACAAATTCTCCAGCTCAGAAGCACATCAAATCCTAAAAGACTGACATAGAATGCACTAATATTCAGTAATAATATATTTCAAACAAAAAGTAAGTCTTTGTAAAGACTATTCTTGCTTTTGTTGCTTGTTGTAATTCTCTACATGTTCTCTCTCTTTGTTTAAACAAATTATGTTTCAACTTTTGGAGAGTTCAGTTCTGAAGTTTTACTGTTAATTCTAGGGACAAAAAATTTACAGTTGCAGCTGAATTTACCTTGTTAACTGCTTTGATAACATTCAACTAATACTCTTGAAATATTGACAAAGTAAAGATCCAAACTGCTTGCCTGTAAGGTATGGAGAGACAGTTCTTCCAACACTCTATAACTGTCTTTATGATTTCCAGATTGTGTCTGAACACAGCTCGTTTCTGATGAAAGGCATTCTTCATCAAGAATTCAAGCAACCTGTTGGCCAAAATCTCATCCTTAATATTCCCCTGCAATGAATGGAAGCAAGAATAAACATAGCGACTCCAACATAAAAGCATAAGTTCTGCTTCTTCCAAATAAGCAAATAAGCTGTTTTTAAAGTTAGTATCTAAATGAAACAGTGGACCGATGTAGAAAATGATTAGAAGTGCATACTAATAAACTTACTCATTATTTATCAAATAGCCAATAGAACAGCAAAAAATAATTTTTACATTTCCTTACTTTGGGAGTAGTTACACTCGTCCAGGAAAGAACAGTAACTGCTATTTCCACTACCATATAATGAATCCCTTCGCCTCCATTATTGCCAGAAACAACAAGCTGCAGCATTGGACCAAGCCATTGCTTTGCATAGGGTCGGAAAACCTTTGGGAAGAGAGAAAAAAAATAAATAAAAGTCAAGGACAACATACAGAGTATCCAATTATTTAATAACCTGTTCAATAATTATTACAAGTGAGACTGCTAAATCAATTTCTTAGCATTTTGTTTAGCCTAGCCTGAAATTATAGCAAAAAAAACCAACAAACTTAGAGTAACTTTAAAATGAAAGGCCTTCCTAACAATATTCTTCACTTCTGCTTAAAAGAAGCACTTTTCACAAACTTTCATGTGAAGTTGTAATTATTTCAGTAGGGCCCCCATAATACAGCTCTGTAGGAGCACTACATGCAAAAAAATCTGTCCCTATAGAATTTGAAAAAGTATGCCACTCACCTGCTCTTCCAAATCTCTATTTCAGATACTTTTACTGAGAAGCATTAAGTAAGTATTAAGGTTTCCTGAATTCTGAAATCCAGTTTTGTATTTTGGATTCAGAATATTTCAAACATTATTCTTTAAAATAAGTGTCTAGAATAGGAGTAGAAAAATTAGAGAATGTTTTTTTCTCAAAGTCACATTCCGTTATATACCTTAGACATAGGTTATAACAAAGGTTATACCTTTCTGCAACTAGAACATCATTTAGCTCTATGGGTTTCCAGAAGACTCATCTGTGACCATTCAAATCACACTGTATTTATTCCTACAAAGATGGCAAACAATCAGCCATACCCCTTAACCAGTATCAATGAATTAATTACTTATAGTTTACAAAAGATGCATGTTATGGTTACACTCTACTTCTAGAAATAGTTATTAGAAGAAAATTCATTTATTTTATACTCCAAATACTGGCACTACTTCGATTCTTGGGCTATGAACAAGTTCCCTTTAATCATGACAAACCATTAAATTTGAATCTCCTCCAAATGTCTCAGTTGATAACATATTTTACCACATAAGAGCAATGCAGTTGATAATACAAGCTATTATGTTAACAGAAAAAAAATAGGAAAAAAGAAATTACTCACATCCTCGGTATTAACAATAAGTTTTGCTATGAAGAGGCGAATATTTAATGGCACAGACGGATTTCCTAACTTACTATGCAGAAATTTCATCCAAAGAGGAAGGTCTACAGGAACCATGCCCTGAAATTTAAAAAAAAAAAAAGCAAAAATCAATTCATCTATTAAACAAAACAGGCTTACCACACCAAAAAAAACCCCGCCTCAGCACATAGGTATAGACATGAAAATTGCAAAATGGAGGAATTCAGTCAATCACAACTTCATTGTTTTAACTAGTGAAACAATGCCAGATTTTTGGTTCATACTGGCCTCTTCCACTTTGGGTGTGATCTGGTTCCTCTGCATATGCTTAATCAGAGTGGTCATTGGTGCCATACACTCATGTTGGTTAAGTTCATCCATCTCCAGTTCCAACTCGTCATTTAAAACCATGTATTCTGATGTCTCCTGAGAAAAAAAATTACTGCGATTAATATGTTTTCTTTTAAATTGTGATAATACCATGAGTCACTCTGATCTTTTCAATATGACAGATTTGACTGTACACTCAATCTGCAACAGGGAATAAATCAGATTCATTGTTCAAAAGCCTCCCATATCGATATACCACCTATGCATTGTTTCCACTTTGTGTGCCTAGGGATGTTAGTTTCATATTGCTCTGACATTATGATCTGCTAGTATAGGTGGGGCAACTGCTGGAAGCAGGAAGAGTTCTGAAGCTCACAGAAACAATTTGATTTCACAGCTGAAGACTTGGAAAAACAGCACTTAACATCTTCCAACAATAGTTAAAGACAAGGTGCCAAAACAGAGATACAAAATAACTATGTAATAATAACAACAATCATTTAGTCTATGCATTTGATAAAGCCAGCTTGGACAAGTGTCCTTGAAAACTAAAAGACATGGGGAAAATGGGTGCCCAAGAGCAAAACAGAACCATCACAGGCCACTCCTGAGTGCACACAAAGTCAAAAGCCACCTTTTAACAACTCTGTTGGCTTGTACCACTCAGCCTTAGAAAACCATGACAGGGCATGGCTTTTCTCCAACTTATAGTGCAGAGAAAAAGAGAGGAAGAAAACTGACAGAACACAGCTTGAGCCCTCTCCCTCATCTGAAGAAAACCACCCTCAAGTAGAGCAGAGGCTCTTCAACTTAGGCACCTTTAAAGTTTATAAGTGATTAAGTTTGTTATTTGATACATCTTCTAAGCAACAGCTGAAGAACAAACTCAGTAAGAGTAACAACAAATAAGCCTTGCTCCACTTTACTAACCTCAGTAAGAACACCCAGTTGCTAAAAAGCTTAAAACTTCTACACATAGCACAGAAGTCACTAAATTACCTTTCTCCTGAAGTGAGCACTGCTAGCTGCAACATCCTGGGAGCTATAAGAAAAACCTTGGACTCCAGTAGAAAAATCAAACTGACTCATTTCCTCACTCAAACTGCTATCCATCATGTATGATGCAGAAGCTAAATACTTGGGTTCATCTAAATAGGAAAAAGAATAGACCATTAATCAAAGCAATTACAAACAAACATGCCTTTACTGACCACTGGGATCTGAGAGTGGATGGGAATTGGTTGCATGACAAAGTACAGTGAATGCTTTTACTTGCTCCTGATACTGTAGAAGCCAATTAGCAGTGCATCAATAAATAGTGTATGAAAGGTAAAAGATAAGTTTTTTCATAGTCATACATGAATTACATACCCTGACCATCATTCCATGCCTCTCTGGCTTCTTTTCTAATAGCAATGTATCTTTTCTTCCTTTCAAGGGGAACCTAAACAGTAGAAAGAAATAATTTCTAAATTACTACTATTTATTTATTTTTTTTAATTTACAGTGTGACTTCTCAAAAAATGATCCAAATCATATAATTAGCAATACAATTCCACACTATAAGTGGTGATTATTAAAGGTACCGTGTAACAGCTGAATCAATTATTTCTACAGTCATTCAAAACCAGACTAAAGCGTGCTAAACAATACACTGAAGTTATGTGCACTGAAGGTTTGTTCTGAATATGATGTCCACATTTCCTTCAGAAAAAGGTAATTTTAAACAGAGGAGTACTCCGTTGTTTTCTCACTTCCTCCCCATGTGACTAACAACCAGTTCAACAGTGATCACACTGTTAAGGATGTACTCATTTTTTTTCCTCAGAAATACAAGATCCCAGAACTTTCACTCACCTCAATTTCTACAGGAAACATGTACTGACGCTTCAAGTCTATCAAGTTTTCAAAAATCAGCAAGTTCTGCAAACCAAAGAAAACTTGAAAACATCGAAGTTATAACTGTGCACTCAATAACAATTGCTCTGACATTTTTCTTGCTTCTTTGTAAAAGTTCGAAGTACAGAAAAAAACAGCCAGTTTTGTTTTAAATCAATATTTAAAAAAATTTTGCTACTCAATTACTTAAGAATTTAAAGCACTGGCAATGCACTCCGTAAAACGGATTTCTCTTATTCATGTACATTTCAAGCACTGGAAAACTTCTTAGATGTTTTCTTGAATATTAGAAAATTGAGTGTGGAGAGAAAGTGATAAATCTATCCCTACTTCACCCACTCCCAACAGATGTCAAAGCCTTCATCAACAATTCAAATGACATGAAGAGGAAAGAAAGTCAACAACTACTACCTCACTGGGTAGTTCATTATATAATTGCCTGTCATTCAAGTTTGAATCTTTGATTTACTGACATCTGACAAGTAACATCTCTTCATGTTTCATGCTCTGAAAGCTTTCTAGCAGCAACAATGGTTTCTCACCTTTTCTGATTTTTCTGTAAAGAGAAAGCCTTGATAAAATTTACTTTCAGTGAAGACACAACTAATAACAGCAATAGCACAATTATATGCTGCACAATGATACTGTCTCCTCTTCTCCAGCAGCTGACTCTCCCCTGCCATGTTTTCTGTAAATGCATCATAGCACAACCTGAAAATAAGAACAGGCAAAAATGGAAATGTAAACACCAAAGTCTTTGTTGCTTTTTTTTTCCTTCTCTTTAATAAGGAGAGGCCTTCCAACAAAAGACAGAATCAACAGAATTTCAAGAGATCTATATCACTATAGCAGTATTAGCATTAAATCATAATTTAACCATTCACCAATGGCGCAGCCAACTTCCACTGCCATCTTCAATGTCAAGGAGATGGCAGGGTATTTTCATAGAAAATGAAGATACCTTTCAACTCATACACAAACAAGTCTTGTGTCTCTTTCCCACCAACTTATCAGTGGACAAGCATGCTGAGCTACGCTATGGATGAGCCAGACAAAACTAGTTTAGATAACATTTTTAATAGGTCTTCTGCCCATAAGCACCTATAAATCTTAAGCAAATCATGGACAAAAAAAAAAAAGCTTGTAAGTCCTTTTAGGTGCATTATGATTCTGTCCTAAGTGTTTAAGAATACTTAAACTGAAATTTAAAGGGAAAGAACCATATTGAAAAGCTAGAAAACCAAAACAACTGGGAAAAAGGGGAGGTAGAAGTCATTCTGACATAGGATTGTAGATTATAACAGCTCAGGTTGGAAAGGACCTTAAAGATCATCTAGTTCCAACCCCCATGTTCAAGATTAGTTTATCAAATATAAAATTAAATACTGAGTATTCTACTTTAAACCAGAAGTTACATAGCAGATTGCGTTCATCTTGACCAAGTCACACTTCTGCTTAACATGACATACCTAAAAGAGTATCTACCCAAAATCTAATCAGAAATTGAACAGAAATACAAGGAGAAAAAATCTTACTTTATTAGTGCCTTGGTAAGTTCATTTCCTTCTACACTTGCAGAACCACGGTAAGCTTGGTTAATTTTAGAGTCCTTGGAGTGAACATCCTCTTTCGAAAGACGTATATACATCACTTCCAGCAGCTTGTAATAACACATTTTCTTGGTGATTTGTGTATCAAAAACACTTTCATTGGACTGAAAACAAATAAGCAAAGACTGAGAAAAATTTCCTAGATTTTGACCTTGCTAAGGAGGTCCATGGTTACTCCAGTTACTGCTAAATAGCTTCAGATTACTTTTATCTTCTACAACAATAACTTAGAAGTTCAGAGTTTCTGAGTAAAACAGTTATTAAAACTATGTTGATCTGTTTATCAGGTCTGTCAGTTTGAATTGTCTGTCGAGAAATAACAGCAATTTGTGCAACTTGAAAATACCTTAAGTCCTTTACCTCAACAGGAGCCAAAAACACAGAACATCCTTCCCCATGAAAATAAGGATCGACTTGTTTTTAAACACACATTTAGAAACAAAGATATATGTAACTGCTAAGCAGACAAAATAAAATACCACGTCCCTACTACTACCATTTCAAAAAATGTACCCATGGAATTTATGAGTTTCTTTGTGCATTTCACTTCAGTGCCAACACTTACAGCAGTAGATGTGTCTACATCTAATGTCTTCTTTCCAGAGCTTTGTTTATAATGACTACTATTAGAATACCTCCTGGGAACCTAAGACAAGATGCAAAGGAATGGCACAAAGCTGCACAAGGGAACATTCCAACTGAACATTTGGAATTTATTTATTTCCTTATTTTTACAGTGGGAGTGGTTAAACACTGGAACAGGCTTCCTAAAGAGGTGGTTGATATCTCATGTCTGTCAGTATTGTGGAGGCATTTGGACAACACCCTCAATAATATGCTTTAGCATTTGGTTAGCCCTGCAGCAGTCAGGAAGTTGGACTAGATATCTTTGTGTGTCCTTTCCAATTGAACTATTCTATTCTAAATTTGGATAATTTCAGCACCTTGTCTGCGCTGCTGCCTTTAAACAGATGAATCATAAAAACTAACAAGTGGAAGAGAACCTCATCAAAAGTACACACACAGACAAAAAAATCATTGGATTTAACTAATATGGATGATAAGAAACAACAAAAAAAAACGCCTATCTTCTGATTGTAGCCAAGACTCTTCAGCAAGTGATTAAAAGCACAGACCTTTCTCCAAGGGCTTACATTAAACCCAAGGTCTAATAACCCCCTTTCACAATGTATTAGTAGACTACCATTTTATACTTAAAAGTTAGAGTGGGTTTTGACAATACCTCAGATCTTTTTTTTGTTTTTTTTAATACAGATGATTTTTCAGCTATACAAGGAAGAAATGCAAACACGCATTAACTTCAAAGCAACAGAATCAAACCATGTTATGACGAAAAACTTCTGCAAGATAAAGAAAACTGGCAAAATTGAAAGCAAGTGGTTTCAACTACAGCATTTCAATCAAACCTAAGCAAAATGTACATAGAAACAGTCAACATTATGTTCCCCAATCTATTTATTTATAACTCATACCTTTGTAAACCTGGAATTAAGTGTATCCATAGCCTGCACTATAATCTTGCAAAAAAACTCTCTCAAAGCATCCAAGCTGCAGTGTGACATGAGAGTGAGGAGAGAGCGATCCACAAAAGCTTGACGGACAGTATTTGAAAGAAGGTCTTCATTCTGGAACATCTTGTGAACAGTGTCCAGCAGTACCACTTGTTTGTCAGCGCTGCTCCTGAATAAGATAGAAATCACAAGAAGAAAACTCATTCTTACCAGACTCGATTTGCGTTTTAAACCACTTCTGTCATTAAAATTATATTGCCTTTGTTCATACCCACTTCGGTATCCTACAAGACATGCAAGATCAGTTTGAAACTCTCTAAAGCAAGTCTCAGCTTCTTGCTCTCCAAGAAGTGGTATATTTGTTTGTACATCTCTGATGGTTTACTACAAAAGCCATCGCTACCTTTGTCAGCCTCAATCTAAAAAAAAAAATAATTAAAAAGAGCATCTGGTACACACAAAAGGTGGAGGCAAATGGAAAAAGATGAGGAAAGTTATTATCCTGCTCCACACTGGTATGGCCTCACCTTGAGCTTTGCGTGCAGGTTTGGGCACCAGCGTATAAAGACTTAAGGCTATTACAAAGTGTTCAAAGAAGGGCTGTTCCAACTCGCAATATTCTATGGTTCTAGATGAATCATTGCTCTGAACAATTTTATAGCTAACACTCCAAAAAATGGGACCCTGGGCAGAAGATAAATTACTCCATATAGTACACTGCATACTTCAAAACAGTCATTACTTAATAGCCCTTCATAAATTGGAATGCTTGGTTTCTAGACTAAAGACCTGTTCTGTGGACAGAGTATGTTTTTATCAAAAACTTATCAGTTTGGAAACACTTTAATTAAAAAAGAAAAAAAAAGTGTTGTTCTATTTCCAAGAGAGTTGAGCAAATTAAGTTGCTGACAATTTGTTATTTACTTATGCGAGCACTGTGGTTATACAGTGATAGCAAAAATAGGTATTGCACACAACTACTACCTTCAAACTGCCTTCTGCCAGAATGAGCCACTTTACAGAAGGCATTACAGAATTTGTCCAGAAATTGGCAGTGTCATTTGTAAGTTGGTGCCACTTCAGAAATATTTTGGAATAGAGAAGACAAAAGTAACTACATGACTTAAATGTATTATGATGTTAACTATCATTGTTATACGAACAGAAAGGACATTTACATCATAAAAAATTCACTAAGACCAAGAGTAAAATGCAATGGACGAAAATTTACCTTCTGGAAATTCTTTTGAAGCTGGCTTGAAATAAGTCCTCCATAGAATGTCTATGGTCCCTACAGAGGACTTCTGTCATCAACTGCAACAACACTGGACTCTGAGACAACTCTAAAGCATCTAAAAACTGAAAAAAGATACAGCACAAAGTAAGGAGTCACATGGAATCAAGTCAATTCCATTTAACTTTTCCATATCAAAGAGAAGCAGATACTCAAGATATGCATATGTAATCTGCATATGTAAATTCAACAACTGGATAAAAATTTAACTAAGAACTAATAGCTGATTTCCTTAAGGGAACTGAGCTTATCTTTCTAATTCCAGACTCTGTGATATTTAAGTACACACCTATCTCTGCTATATATACATACGTGCACACACCCCTATGTGATATATAGATAACTGTTTCAAGGCACAGTTCAACTAGGGCTCTAATTACATAATCATTTCTGAAAGACACTAACCTTCTTAGTGCAGTCCACATAGTTATTGTGCTTTAAGGTTCCTTTGGGAAACTCATCTGAACTCATAGGAAAATTGAAAGCTACAAGTTGATCAAGAGCATTCTTAAGTTCATTAAGTTTTTCTCCAGTCAAATTAGTGAAGAATGGAAGAATTATCACTGCCTGGCCCTGAAAAAAAGATAAAAAAGCTTTAAATGAAAATAAAATTATTCACAAATTACAAAGCATTTAAGGACGACAAAACAGTCAGCAATGGTTGTGCTTACTGATTCAAAGACTCAGAGAATTGAAAGATGCATCATGTAGCTGCTCTCCTTTAAGGTATTTCAGAAAAAAACCATCTTTGATCAATACTGAGTAGGAGTTAAAAGCTAATTAACATTCCCTGCCCAACAATGCCATATATTAGACTTCTGTGATAGTGGATGCTCACTTAAAAAAAAAAAAAAAAAAAAAAAAGGAAGTCACTGCTTTACTGCACCACCTAGCACCTAAAGCAAGGTTTATTTTGAATGCACAGTGAAGTTCAAAACTATCCACCAAAAGGTGGACTGACAGAGCAGCAACCATGCAAAACTTTTAGTCTTCTGGTCTGAAGCTCTAGCATCCACACAGCAACATGCCTTTGTGGCCAAGGCCAATGGTATCCTGGGATGCATTAAAAAGAGCATGGCCAGCAGGTCAAGGGAGGACATCTTCCCCCTCTACCCTGCCCTGGTGAGGCCACATCTGGAATACTGTGTCCAGTTCTGGGCCCCCCAGTTCAAAAAAGACAGGGAACTCTTAGAAAGAGTCCAGCAGAGAACACAAAGATGATTAAGGGCCTGGAGCTCCTCCTGTAGGAGGAAAGGCTGAGTAACCTGGGACTTATGGCTTCAAGCTGTGCCAGAGGAGATTCAGGCTGGACATTAGGAATTACTACTAGTCAGGCACTTGAATAGGCTGCCCAGGGAGGTGGTGGAGTCACCAACCCTGTAGGTGTTCAAGGAACATTTGGACTTTATTTTGAGGGACATGGTTTACTGAGAACTGTTGGTGATGGGTGGATGGTTGGACTGGGTGATCCTGTGGGTCTTTTCCAGCCTTGGTGATTCTACGATTCCATGACTCTTCAATCTGGAGAACAGAAGGCTAAGAGACTATCTCATAACTGTTTATCTGAAGTCTGGGAGGACTCTTCAATCACATGCAGTAATAGAACAAGGGGCAAAGGAACAAAACTGGACACAGGAAGTTCTATACTAACACAAGGAAGAACTTCTTTACAGCAAGACTGATGGAACACTGGAACAGACTGCCCAGAGACTTCGTGAAGTCTCCTTCTCTGCACCTATTTAAGACTCGTCTGGATGCCTATGTGTTTGACCTACAGCAGAGAACCTGCTTTAGGAGGGGATTGGACTCAAAGAACTCTAAAGATCCCTTCCAACTCCTACAATACTGTGATTCCACGTGATTCTGTCATCCTACAACTTCTACTATCAGTATGCAGTACTCTGTCTCCCTCTCTTGACCAAATCACATATAGCAGTCACTGGTCTCCTACAGAGATGGACCTTGGAATCATTGCCTGTTTATAATTTCACATTTAGAAAGTGCCAGTCTTTGCTAAAAGCCTGATTAACTGTCAACTCAAAGATGAACACTTTAGAGTTGTAAACTATTTGCAATTGACAGTAAATTTTTCATAGAAAAAATGAAGTTACATTCAAAACAAAAGCACAGCATCTGTGACATTGCTTTCTGTCTAAAATACAAACAATTATTTACAATTTTTAGGAAGCTGAACAGGGAAATTAAAAAAATGGAAGTAATGTCCATCTGCAAACTAAGGTAAAAATTTAACTCTAATAACAGGAGACTTCATTAACCACTAACATTCTAATCTGGACAGATCAGGGAAGATACTTAAGTGAGCAACTTACCTTCAGATTTAAGCCTAAATTCTGATCAGTAAGTAGACTGGTATAGGTATCAAAAACAGCTGTAAATGCTTCATGACTGGTATTGAAAGAAACTGAAGAGTCTATCTGGAACGAAAGAGAAGTTCAAAATAAAGATTTGTTTCTGAACTAGTCAGAGAACTCCTTACTTTAGTTAACGATAGAAATAACCCATGTGCTGTAGAATTATGTTTCCAAAAATATACCGAATGAACAGAAAGTACATATGTTGTGATTCTGGTTTTAGAAGGACTATCAATAAGAATTCTAAAAGCCCCTATGCTGTACGAACAAGCTTAGGTCCTGGATATTTTCCAGTTCAAAAATAAATCAAGCTACATCTCAAAGCTAGACTTCCTATTAATCACTTTACTAGCAATGAATACAGCAGTACAATTCACAATATGTGTCCCAAAACATACCCTCAAAAAGATTCAAGTTGAAAATAATGACATCTATAATTTCAAATGTCCTCAAGTAAGTGAATATTTGTGCGTGTTTACACACAGCTACTTTTATAAGTTCCTAAAAAAATGGGCTAAGTAGATAAATTCTGTCTTCACAATAGAAAAAAACCACAACACTAAGCAAAACCCCAATGTAACCAAAGTTAGAGGTCCTAAAAATCAAAACCTTTCTGCACAATATTGATTTAGGTAGCTCTGTTGTAACTTTAGTCTGGATGCCAGCAAGGAAGAAGGAACGTTACCAGAGGCTGTTCATTTTCTAAGTTTACTCTCCATGCTTGTGTCAATTCTCCAGAAGGCAAGAAAGCAGAAAAACACGTGAGCAGCTAAAATAAGAAAGCTGGCGGGGAGAAGAGCAAAATCCAGTAATTTCTGCCTGTCCAAATATTTTTTGTACTTTGCAAAAAACAACTAAACAGGCTGTCATTACTCAGCCTTTTTTTTTTTTTTCCCCCAAACACAAGAGAAACAAAGAAAACTATTCCTGTAAGCTATCTTCTACAGAATTGGAAAAGTTACCTGGCCATTACAAAACAGTGCATACCTGGAGAACTTTTGCCAGCAGAGTCAAGACTGCCATTTTGCTCTCAGGAGATGAACCTTTGGCCCACCAGCTGTCAAGTCTCTTCCAGTTTCTCAGTACTGCTGTGACCAGTTTCACTCCTTGCTGCTTGCGTATGGTACGCTCCCTAAAACTCTGATCTAACATGCCATTCAAAATGCTTCCAACCTGAAAGGAAAAGCAACAGAGATTCTTGCCTTCCAAGCAACATGAAGATAGTATCTCCTCACTGGTATGGGCAATCATGAGGAAAAACAAAACACAACCAAATCACAGATTCAGGAGAAAGTCAATCAAAAAGTGCTTGTTAAAGGAAGAGGATAAATATCCCGTCAGCTTCAGACAGATGTTTCTGTCTGAATTACCATCCGTCCTAAAAGCACCTAAATTAGAAGCTCCTCTCTAATCTGACTTTGTGAAAAAGCTAAAGATGGGATCTAAAATTAGAAGATCTTAATTCTACCCCAAATCCTTAATTAAAACTACACTTAATGGAAAGAAAGAACCCAGTAAAGGAACTTTCAAATTAAGTCAGCTAACACGTCAGGGGAGGATTTTCAATTTACTGCATCACACAGCAATGCTAGATTTAAATTTCAACAGGATACAGGAGTTACTGTGTAGGAATTTAGAAGCACCTACTTTTCAAAAAGAGAAATCTACCATACTCCTTCCTGTTTAAATCAAACACCAATACATTTTGTGTGAATACAGAGAAACAAATAATAACCCAGAGTAACTCTGAGGATCAATATTTGAAAATACAAGTCAGCATGCAACAGAGAAATAGGAGAGTCACATATATAACTTACTTGCATAAACTCTGAAAACAGAAATAAAACTTCAAACAAATTATGAACAAGTACATTTCAATCCCCTTCCTTTACAGTTTAAGATGTGACAAACTACTACTGATCACCAACTTCTAAGCCTGAATTCTGCATTTTCCTCTCTAATAGTCAGCAATTCAACTGGATTATTGTCATCAGGATTGTGATTTCAGTGGATTTGTATGGGTAGTGTAAATATATATATATATATATTTTTTTTTTCTTACCAAACTAAACAATCACATAAAACTGAATAAAGGCCTTAATCAAAGGACTGTATTACAGTCATTTATCTTCCACAATGAATCCCTTTACATAGTACATAAAAATGGGAACGATCAGACTTGCTTTGAAAGGACATTCTTCAGATGAAGTACAAAATTCCTGAAATTCATAGATTTCAGGGTAAGTAACAGGCAAGCATTTTCCACTTGAATCAGGTTGCCAAGGACCATGAAGTCGGTGCCAACAGGCTGTAACCCAAAACAAAACAAAAGCAAACAAAAAGCACAAAATAAGCCACTAAAGAGTCCTATCAATACCATGCTTCCCAAGTGCAACTGAAGACGCTCAGTTACATTCAACCATAACAAAAAAGTCTTACTTCTTATTTAAAAGGACAAATTCACATGGAAATGTTAGAAGTTCAATACCATTTGGGGATTGCTGACAGATGATTCCATAAGCTGGACTACTATCACATCCAGATTTTTTAGCAGCTGCTGATTAATGGTGTCTGAGAACAGGCTGTAGAAATACTGTCCATGAGAAAAATTGACAAAGTTTCTCTCTGAGGCTTCGGATAACGGCACAGATAACACCACTGTGTTCAACAGCAGACTTACTAGCTCCTCACACTGTAAAATGCAAGACAGCACCAGAGTTATCTCAAATGCATTAAGTTTCACAAATTTCCTGAAAACAAACCAAAAAACCCCAACAACCAAAAACAACCACACTGCCTTTTTTAAAAGAGCTTCCATCTCAAACTGTTTCATGTTACCATGAAATACAGTAAAAAGGCATGAACAAAATACTGAAATGCTCACTACTTAAAATTTCCCTTTGTCCCTTGATTAAGCCAGACAGCATTTGCAGCTTCTCTGTAGGAATATGAATAAAGCTTTGTTTACCTAAAATATATATTCTGGTTATTCTACAGGATAGTTCCTGAAAATAGGAAAGCTGAGGATTAAGTATTCAGATTGGAGAACTGCATCCTACCTGGTCATCAATGGCAAAGGCAAGCTGCAGGAGTCTATCAGCTAATCGCTTACTGCTGATGTCTACTGCTGGAAGAGAGCTTCTTTCACTCCCAGGTGCAATGCCTTTATAAACAACTGAAAGAAGCTTAGAGCCAATTGAGGAATGAGGCCTTCCACCCTATTGGAAAAAGAAGTGCCAATGAATATAAGCTGAAAAAATAACACAAAGGCTTTTTAATTTTTGTCCCCCATAACATTCTTGTGGAGAAGCTGGCTGCCCATGGTCTGGATGGGTGTATGCTCCGCTGGGTGAAGCACTGGCTGGATGGCGTGGCCCAAAGAGTTGTGGTCAATGGAGTTGAATCTAGCTGGCAGCCAGTCATAAGCAGTGTCCCCCAAGGCTCAGTAGGGGCTGCTTCTGTTTAACATCTTTATTGATGATCTTGATGAGGGGATTGAGTGCACCCTCAGTAAGTTTTCAGATGACATCAAGCTGGGAGGGAGTGTTGATCTACCAGAGGGGAGAAGGGCACTGCAGGGGGACCTGGACAGACTGGATCAATGGGCCAAGGTTAACGGCATGAGTTTCAATAGGGCCAAGTGTCAGGTCCTGCATTTTGGTCACAACAACCCTAGCCAACCCTACAGGCTTGGGGAGGTGTGGCTAGAAAGCTGCCTGATGGAAAGGGACCTTGGTGTTCTGATGGACAGTCAGCTGAACATGAGCCAGCAATGTGCCTGGTGGCCAAGAAGGCCAATGGCATCCTGGCTTGTATCAGGAATGGTGTGGTGAGCAGGAATAGCAAAGTCATTCTGCCCCTGTACTCGGCATTGGTGAGGCCTCACCTTGAGTGCTGTGTTCAGTTTTGGGCAACTCAGAACAAAAAGAACATGGAGGTACTGGAGCAGGTCCAGAGAAGGGCAACGAGGCTAGTGAAGGGCTTGGAAAATCAGCCATATGAGGAGAGGCTGAGGGAGCTGGGGCTGTTTAGTCTGGGGAAGAGGAGGCTGAGGGGAGACCTTATTACTCTCTTGCAGTACCTGAAAGGTGCTTACAGTGAGAGTGGGGTTGGTCTCTTATCACTGGTGGCAGGTGACAAGACCTGAAATGGCCTCAAGTTGCAGCACCAAGGTAAGTTTAGGTCGGACGTTAGGAAAAACTTCTTTACAGAAAAGGTGGTTAAACATTGGAATAGGCTCCCCAGGGAGGTGGTTGAGTCACTGTCCCTGGATGTGTTTAAGAGCCATTTGGATGTGGTGCTCGGAGATATGATTTAGCAGAGGGTTGTTAGAGTTAGGGTACTACGGTTAGGCTGCGGTTGGACTTGATGATCCTTGACGTCCCTACTAACCTGAGTAATTCTATGATTCTATCTGTCTAGGTAACAGATACACAAATTCCAAGCCAATTTCTCATAAAGCAATGCAAATACATACAAGACTCCTTTCTAGCTGAACAGCAAAGCTTTTAATCAGATAATCTTGTTGCGCACATGATTCAAAACAATTTTTGAAACATTTCCAAATGATTCAGATCTGAAAAAAATCTGGGAGAGGATAACAATACTACAGGAACAAAATGAACAGCTCAACGAGAATGGGTGAGCTTTAAGAGGTAAGCCATACAGTTCCTTGAGAACTGCTGTGCTATAATCTCAATTCTAGATTCTCAGACATAAAAAGATAGATGGCAAGTGCACACAGAAATGAAATGGGTTTGTTACTTGCCAAATGTAGCCACATGCTTCGCAGCTTTCAGTCCTTATGGCTCCTGCTTAATGTTTTCTCTAAATTGCCCAAACTGTTTGACTACAATCAGAAACTTATTAGAAATAATAATTTTGAGTAAGGTAACCTACACCCTCATCCTTAACTGCTCTCTATCCTGTTTTCCTACAGCTCAGACCCACTGTATTGCTTCTGATCAGCCAATGGACATTCCTGTCCTTGGAAAAAAGTTCACCCTTGCGTTTCAGAGACTTGGTGCAACATTTCTTCACAGCACAAACGGTCTTACACAAAACAAGATACTGCTTTTTGGATTGCAGAATTGCTATTTAAAAATGTTTGTCAGGATTTTTGAGGATCAAAGAAAATGTGCTCCCACAAAGCTCAATGAAAGGGAAAATTTGGGGGAGATTCTGGATGTCTCCAGGCCCTAGAAACTGGAGGAAGACAGACACGATGACGAAGATTGTCCACACGTCAATATTATGCTATCCAGATTTGTTGAATGGGACCAGAAATAAATGCTTTATGCTCATTCTACACCAGCTTTTCAGTGCTGATCTCATTTCACAAAAATTCACCCAATCCATTCTCAGTTTTCATACTACACTTTTACATGTGTAAAGCTTTTATCTTTATAAAAATATTCAGAATTAATTTCTGGATAAACAGTTACCTGATTGTGAAGAACAGAATGAAGCAGACCAGATTTCTGGAGTTGCTTGCAGGCAGAAAGAACAGCACTGAACCTAACTTGATCAAAACGCGCATCTGAATTAAACAGATCAACAGAACAAAGGTCCTCAAAGCTAATAAGAAAAGAGAAGCAATAATGTTAGAGTGATGGAGATATCTATTTGCAACCATACACAATATCATTTATTTTGCACTTCTCATTTCAACTTCATTTGTTCTGGGCATTTGCTTACTAGTAAAGCTCCTACTTACCTCTGTGGGGTGATTCTCTCTCTTAAAGATACTTGCAAATCTTCTTTATAGGGAGATTTCATCAAAGCTTTCAAGAGTCTCACTGAGATATCCGGGAGATTTTTCATGACTTGTACATCAGCTGTATTAAACCCTATATGTGATGGATCACACACTGTCATCACCAGAAGCTCTACAAAGTTTGCATTAAGCAATTCCTTCTCAAGTAGCTAGAAAGAATAAAACATTAAAAGAAAATGTAAGGAATCCTAAAAGCATTTGGAACTATTTTATTCTTCATTACTTACCATTACTCTTATAGCTATAAGGAAACATAACATGCATCATTAACTATTCTGGTGAAATGGCATTATCTTTCTTCCATTAAATATCTGGATTTCAACAAATTGTGTAATGCATAGAAATAAAGTATCTATAAAAATACATAGGATGTATGCTATCAAATTGGAATTGAAACCTTTTTATATCCACATAGGCCTGTTTGAGTCTTGATCATACATCTGTAATCACTTGGAAATCAGGATGTACATCTGTGTGCACACCATTAAACATTTACTTAAAACAAAAGACAATCTCAGAACTATATCTGGCACTGTATATTTCACAAATACTATATTCTATAGCTTTAATTATGGTTTGCATTACATCCAAGATAGGCAAGTTAAGAGATCTGAACATTTTGTTCTGAATTCAAGAAAAAATTGCCACAATGTCACTTTTTGATTTAAGTAACTATTGCCTTGACAAACTTAAGGCAATCAGGACTCCTGAAAAAATATTCATTGCACGTACCCTACAGAACATTGCAGAACAATCTCACAGTCAATTTTTTTATTGGAATATATAGGAAACATTCACCCCTCTATTCAAAACTATGTCAACCACTAAAATTAATCTTTGCAGCATACTTTCTCTTACATGCAAAGATTGTAACAGCTGGTGATGCTTTGTCACCGATCTGAAACAAAGCACCATTAAGGATAAGATATCCAGCAAATCAACCCCACAGTGAAAAACTCAATCTAATTACATATACAATTTGTATCTCTTACTCACTATAGATTTCACTGCCTACCTTCCAGAAATCCTGCTGGCACGTTTCCAGGATCATGGTGACAAACTCCATGATTCGCACGATAATTGTACACTTACTGTAATTATATACTTCTCTCTCTTGAGGACTGAATATGTTGCCTCTTGACCTGCAATCAAAGCACTGCTCTGCTGCATGAATATCATGCAAGGCAATAGTTTCAAGGAAGAAATCCACTGCTTTCAAGAATGAAGACTTGTCATTTACACCTAAGGTGAATCACAGTAAGCAAAAATGAGATAGCAGCTCACAACTTTTCTATATATTATTTTGTGCTAGGAAGAAAACAGTTGTTTGAGATAATGAACAGAAAAACTATGGTGTCTCACATGAGTATTTCCTGAAAGCTGTATGTAATTTGCAAATATTAGTGAAGCGTAGCTTTCTAATTACTGATCATTATAAGCATGTAATTATCAATGATCATTCAGGCATGTGTAATAAGGGTGAAAATTTTAAATCTATAGTTTTGAATAGCTTGGCTGTATACTAACTGCATCTAATAATATTGTTTTAAATAAAGACAGAGATGACACAGGCAGACTACCTACTATATGCATGAGACTTTTATGCAACTGTACTGTCAGTAATAAAAAGTATTTTAGTCAGAAGTGAATGAAAAATTAAGAAAACCTTTTGGTTAAGTCTCAGTGTTTACATAAGGTATTATGTACACAGTCAAACGCAAAGCAGTTTAAGTGGAAGCATCAGAAACTGACTTAAAGGCTTGAAGTAAAAAAGGGACCTCTTTCGTTGCTTTCTCATAGCTCCCTCCAGACATCAATAAAGAACAGGTAAACAACTTAGAAGGATTATTTCAAAACCTATGGCTCTGCTCTGCAGAGGGAAATTAGCTGTACAGTTTTTAAACATCCACAAAAACAATCATTGAGATCTTTGAGATAGTCTGTAAAATTCATTAATTAAGACAAAGGCTTCATCAAGTCTGAGGTGGGAACTCCTCCTGGAGCTACTCCTCTGTAACAGGCATGAATCACCGTAATGCAACTGTTAATCACTCACCCAGTATTTCATGAGGCTTGATCATTCGCAGCTCAAAGAAAGTATTGTAGCAATCCAGTGCTGCTAAGAACATGTCCATCCACCTCATGACAGTCGGTAAACTAAAGGGCTCCTGCATACTACGGAGAGTTGGCTGAGAAAGAATCCCAGATGGGCTTTTGGCATCACTGCCACCTCCTTCAAATTTATTAGTAAGGAAGGAAACACCTCTCTCTTTTAAAACATCAGCCAGCCAAGAAGATGGAGAATTGTTTCCTGATAGAAATAAAAACACATTTGAATTCTATAGGAAAACAACTCATTTCCAAGTAACAAGGAATTGGAGGCAAATGGACTATCACAGTCAAATTTTGTGTTTTCATTTGGATCTTCTAGTATAGAAGTTATCACACCACTGAAGTTAACCACAAGGAAGAGGCTGATCTACAAGCTGCTCCCACTATTTCCCAGTCAGCAAATGCTGCCTTCATAGCAATACACAACAGCAGCCCCAGGCCTAGAAGTTCTTTTTTCTGACCAGAAGGAAGTCTTCAATAAAAGTCTCTTCCATGCCCACAACCCCAACCCAAAACCTGTGGTTCTCACATTTGTTTTTCAACATTAGCACCTAAATAGCAGTGAAGAGACATTTACTTCAAAAACATTTTTTCTAAGAACGTATTGCCCAGAAAATGCATAGAAAAGGAATGCACAGCATTTAAAAAGCAAGGATCACAGAATCCTGGAATCATCTGAATTGGAAGGAAACCAATTTAGTCATTTAGTCCAAACGCCCTGAGACGAACAGGGATACCTACAACTAGATCAGGCTGCTTAGAGCACTGTCCAGTCTGGCCTTGAGTGTCTCCAAGAGGGGTTTCCCAGCATCTCTCTCAGCAACCTGTGCCAGTGCCTCACCACCCTTATTGTAAAGAAAACCTTCCTCCTTACAACCAGTCTAAATCACCCCTCTTTTAGTTTGAAACCATTTCCCCTTGTCACATCACAACAGATCCTGCTAAAGAGTCTGTCCCTTTTCTTCTTATAACCCCTCTTTAGATACTGAAAGGTTGCTCTCAGGTCTTCCCAGATCCTTCTCTTCTCCAGGCTGAACAGTCTCAGCTCTCTGTGTGGCCTTGCTTTGGATGTGCTCCAACATGTCTATGACTCTCCTGTACCGAGGACTCTACATCTGAACTCCAGGTGAGGTCACGCTAGCTCAGAGTAGAGGGGTAGGATCATCTCCCTCACTCTCCTCACCACACTTCTTTTGATGCAGATCATTATACAGTTGGCTTTCTGGGCTTCGAGGCTGAACATTGCTGGCTCATGTTGTCTTTATCATCCACCAGTACACGCCCAAGTCCTTCTCAGCAGGGCTGTGTTCCATCCTTACATCCCCCAGCTTGTACTGGTAGTGGGGGTTGTGGTGACCCAGGTGCAAGACTCTGCACTTAGATTTGTTAAACCCCACAAGGTTCACCTGGACCCACTGCTCAAGCCTGTCTAGGTCTCTCTGGATGGCATCCCTCCCCTCTGGAGTGTCAACCAGACCACACAGCTTATAGTCATCAGCAAACTTGCTGAGGGTGCACTCAACCCAAGTGTCAATGTCACTGATGTGATAATAATATAATGCAACTTATAATACCTGGTAATAAAGGAACAAATTCATAAAAGAGCTCCATGGCTTTATGTCGACACTCCATCTGAGGTCGTCCACACTGCACTAAGAGCCACATGACAACATCCTGAAGGCACACTGACTTAGTAGCTGGAAATCCCCTAAACAAGAATATTAGGAATTAATAGTATTCATGACATCTAACAAGAAGCTGTCGTCTTCCAGTTGAAAAAAAAATAAAATAAAAAAAATCAGTGTTTCATGAGCATTATGTATGTCCTTTTATCTGTCTTACCAAACCCACATGCATTATAAGGAAGAGCTCTTCCACAAGCATAGTCTATACTGCTTTTTCTTTTTCCCACTCTGATGTGAAATCTTAGAGAGCCATCTTGATATCAACAGTTTAAAAAACAAAACCAGGTCTCTTTCTTTTTGTAACAAATGAAGACAAAAGAGATTACCATTTAAATTAAAACACATATTTTCCTCTCCCTAATTATCCTGTCTCTTAGCTCACTACATGTAAGCTCAGATACATCTCAGATTCTACTTACCAGTTTCTTGAGGTTACAGAACAGTTTGGGTCAAAAAGGACTTCAGGATATTTCTAAGTCCAGCCTTCTTCTTAAAGGAGGGTAAGCTGGGTAATCAGAACATCTACTGTGATAATGAATCCACTCTTGCTTTTTCCACTTTTCATGTTATGTCTCTATTTGCTATCTATAATATCCTACTGTAGGTAGTCCTACTCCTGCTAATACTTACAGTAATAATAAAAGTTTTAGAAGAACTTTCCTCCACTACCAACATTATTTTGAACATAGCTGTGTGAGAAACTCTTTTCTTTTTTCTTTTCTTTTCTTCCATCCATTCAAAATGAATATGAAAGGAAGATATCCGTTCTGAGCTCATCACACAGGATAAAAGAATCACTATTATGATCCTCCAGAAGCACACCAAGCATTTCCCTCCAGGAGTTCAATAGACGTATTAGCAGAAAAGAGAATTTCTCCTCTGACACTTTGAGAACATATGTCAATTAGTGGCAGTCACAGGAGGAATTCTCTATCCAGAATCACTGTTACAGAGGGTGCATTATTCAAAAAACAAAGGAGTGTCAAACTGCTGACCGTGGTACCCGCCGTTTTCCTTCCTTGTTCAGAGCAGGTGCTTTATGCTTGATTATGCGCTTCAGGTGATTAATAGCATCACAACATTGTTGGGTGGTACCTGTTAGAAGGAGAGAATATGCATACATGCATCTATAAATAAATGTGTTAAATTAATGGAGGTATTATCAGCACAGAAATATGCAAAAGGCTGACACACACGGGATGTCTGTTACCTACACCATTCTCATGCTCAAGTGATTTTTTCAAGGTTGAAGGACAAAACCACAAAACAGCAGAGCGGCCTCTGCTATAAAAACATATATTCTTTTTGCTCTTACGCTTCAACAGTAAACTGTTACCACAAAATATTTATTTGGGGGCTATTTCTGTGATATCCCCACCTGTTTCTCTGAAAGAAGTAAGGCTTTGTAACATGAAATTTTGGCTTTCTGTTGTAATTATTATTAATTGATGAAAGCCAGAGCATAAGAAAAAGAAAAGCGGGTTTACTGATACTGAAGAATCATACGTATTGTGGAGGAAGTGATAGAATCTTCATGCATACTGTCATACAGAATAATCACATAACCACCAAGAATGACAAAATGATAAAAAAAAAATATTCCATAGGATGTAGAGAAATTGCCATTTTTTGAGAATTGTGTTTATCGTAGAAGAACAGACTTCAAAATTCTTATCAACCTACATTTTCACATCATGAACTACAAAATAAGGTCTCACATCATAAATACCATCAGTATTATTACTGTTACTATAAAGATGTATATCATAGTAAATGTGAAAAATGTTCTTTTAATTAAGCATTAAAAAAAATCTTCCACATTTACGTGCTGCAAGGAGTTGACATAAACAGTTCTTAACTAGATATCAAATTATCTCTCTACCATAAGAAATTGTTACAAAGTAGGTACATTCCCTTCTCCCATGGTTATAGATTCATCGTTTTCTTTATTTTCTTTTTCTTTTTTTTAATAAAAATTAAACTGGAACACTTTTGTTAGTTGCAGCTAATTATAGCTTACCTAATGATTTCTCATCTGTATGGGTTAAAGCCAGACTTTCCAGAAATACCACCAATGCTTCAAACACAAACTGTTCCACCAGAGAATTCTCTTCCCTTTAAAATCAGAGATAAATGATAGGAAAGTTGAGTGGAAACACTGATTATGAAATTATAATTAAAAACAAATCAAAATGCTGCAGAAATAAACTGCACAAAGACATCTACATAAAAAATACACCAAAACCACTCTAAAACGAATGGCAATGCAGACTTACTGAGTGCTTTTAAAACACAAATAACTCACCATAAATCTGTGACAAAAATTTATAATTAAATCAATGAATAACGTCAACAACAAAGTTTCACAGCTGTTGTATACATAAATAGAATGAGTGTGAGTGGATGACTATTTGGGTCTTACACTGAATTCTTTTCACTTCCTTGACCTTTTAGTTCAAGTTGGTTACAGTTCCAAGCTGTCTACTCACCTAAATTCTCTGTAGATGCTGTTAAAAGCAAGCGCTGCACCTAGTCTCTTGAAAGCACTGGGATGAAGAGCAAGACTATATAATCTTTTAAAAAGAGACTTGGTGTTTGCTGGGCTTTTCTCCTGCTGTCTCGGTGTTGTCTGCTTAATAGACCACTTCAAAAATTCTCGCACACATTGACCACAGAAATCTCTCAGAGTGCTGTCAACTGGATCCACTATGCCACTCTGAAATTAAGCAAGATAATTTCATTACAAGACTGAAAAAAAAAAAACCCACAACATTTTTTAGTGCAGTGTTAGAGCAGCTTACAGAATTTTTCTTTAAGTAGTTTAAAAATGTGCTTAGTTTCCCAGAAATAAAGCTTCAGAACTCATGTGGTCCAGGGAAAGGACAGCATTTCCAGCCCTCACAGCACTGGATTCAATCTCAAAGATTCGGGCTTCTCTTCCCATCTCAGTCAGAGCTTCTAAATTGGTTTGGTAGCTGAGGCATTCCATTTTCTGATAAGCCTGTTTTCTCCACATTAGAGACACTGTGCTAACACTGACTTTCCTTTACAAAAAGTACCCTGAAACCTTCAGGTCAGCGCAAAAAAATATATATAAATTTAAAGCTTTTTCACCTAGTGAAATCAAAGAAGCATAAAGAAAAATTAAACACACATCACAAGCAACTTTTCTTCAGGCCTGCGGAAAAACAGTATTCTAGTTGTTCCTTGTATACAGAGATTATGAAAAGAGCATTTCATTACTCCTACAAAGGCTATGAAGACACCAGCTGCATTCTGACAGTGTCAAAGTAACAGAAAAATTCATCAAAGTCACAGTTGAGAATCACAAAATAGTCATAAAATTGGTAAATTGTTAACCTTTATTCTGAAAAAAAAGCTATTATATCAGTGTATGTGCTCCTGCTTCTTTCATTAGTACAGTGATGCTAGTTAAAAACAAAGTCACATGGCACAGAAAAAAAGAAATAGGAAGATTTATGACCTACCAAGATAGCTTCCAGAAACGTCACTGTATCTTGACTCTCAAATTTCTTGTTGTTTGTAAACCAGTGAATGAGCTGCATGACTAAAGGCTCATACAACTGTCTCGTTACCTGAAAATACAAAAAGCCAACTACATTTCTAGGATTAACATGTTTCTCTCTTATTCTGCTATTCAAAATGTGTAAGAACAAAAAACAATACTTCTTGAAAAAGGGTCTGTAAAGTGAATAATCTGCTTCATGTAACTTTTCCACATTAAGGATTAAAAAAAAAAAAACAATAAATCTGGTTTGCTGTTTTCTATTTAATTAGTCACAAAAGATCTCCAAGCTTACTTTCAGTAAGAAACTTTGAGGCAGATAAAGAATATTACTAACCACCGATTGATATACTGATATGCAGCCAGAGAAACAGGAAAGCTTGCTTTTAAGCTGTATTTTGATCTTGTAAAAATCTCTCAATCCTAACCCTTTAAATTATTCTAATACGATAGATTTCAACAGTTCTACCTTGTAAGTTAACCTGATTAAATAATGCCATACTACAACGTGAAGAACCATTCAGTAGATTTACATATGCATGGATATATGCTTGTAAAACAAAACACGTGACTGTGTGCATTGGTTTGTACCAACAGATATTATTTATTCTAATTTACATTCAGCCATATAACAGCAGAAAGGGTTCCACCTAAATGGGTAATGTAGTATCACATACACTGTAATAGAACCCTTTGGTATAAAAATCAAATCCAAATGCCAAGGCCCCAGGCAGCAGTCTGAAGAGGCACATCACCTATAAATTCAGTAGAGCTGAACCTGTGTGCCACAGAGACTTCTCTTTTGTTTTAGGTAAGGAGGATAAACATCAAGTTGAGATATTTGAATTAAATATTTCTTCCTCAGCTATCAATAATGCAGATATAATCTCCCAGATGCCATTTATGAAGACTGTAGCTTTGTGCTCATTCAACAGCGAATGAATGAATTTCTCCCCAGATTAACTTATTACAGGAAAATCCAGAAAACAAATACTGTAATGAAGAACAGTTAATACTACAAACTCTTGGAATTAATCTTGAAATTTCATTCCTAAGGCATTCCTATATACATACACTGCTATCACTCAGGACTGCACTCCATTACTGAAGTATTTGAAAAGTTTCCTATCCCCCTCTACAGAAACCCTGGAAAACTATCCCTAAAGTGGAATTTCAGCTTAAAAATATGCATTACAATTGAAATAAGAAAGGCCATGTGTTAGGATTACTCTCTGAGAATAACTTGTAAACAAATTTATAAATTAATTTCTATGCACAGAGGTATTTTAAACAAGCTAAAATGCTTAGGAGTGATTATTTTTACCTGGTCTACATCACAGGCAAGACGAAGCAGTACTGGAAATATTCGTTTGTATAACTGATACATGGGTGGTGGACCCTGTTGTCTTTCTGGCATCTGAGATGCTTTCCCCAGCATATATGCAACAATGCTATGTAGCAGTTCACATGCTGCAACCTGAAATTGAAAAATGCCTTTGGTTATGCATCTTTTATTTCCACAGAGAAGACAAAATTGTAGGCAGGAGGAAAAAAGTCAAAAGAAAGGATGTACATTAGAAATTACTTCTATCTGTACAAAAATCACTTTCAGGAAGAGATTGTGTCTATGCAAATGATCTGCACACATTCTACCTGATCTCATTCCTGATACTTTAGAGTTTCTGTGACGTGCAGTCACTTTTCAAAGGAGAAAATGCATCTGTAGAGAAGTCACCCTCATTGTGTGTTTGGGGATACCTCCATTCTGGATCCTTTGGATATCAATATCTCAACTCAGCAAAGAAGCAAGGTATTTACTTCTGTGCTCTGCTGGACTGAGCCCACAAACTCAAAAGGAAGGCATGGGAAGGACATTAAGCAACAACAAAGATCAGTTATTTTAAAACATTCATTTTTATCCTAAGTCTCAAAAAGGCACAGTACTGTCTGATAGAGCTTATAGCAACTTTTGTTCTTTAGCTTTTAAACAATCAGAATTAATAGTATCACGAACCAGCACTGAAGAAGCACATTTGTACCTCTGAATTGATTAGAACAGGCCTTCCTTAACAAGGAAGGCACTACTTTATGCAGTAATTCTCAGTTAGCATAAACAAAGACACACGTGGACATCAATACCTTTGTTTGTCTGTCACTTGCAGAAAGAGCCAGGTCAGTCACACGAGGCAGAAACACATCCAAGTAGATGACAGGCTTCATGTCTGCAAATGGCACAGCAAAGCTCAGGTGGTTCTCGGTGTCCCAGGACACACATTTCTTCATCATCTCTTCTGCAGAGGTGGCTAAAGCATTTGGAAAATATCAGAACAAAAAATAAGCATTGTCTAATACAGATCAGATAAGCAGATCCAACAAAAAGACCCCTTCAGTTGCACAGAGAACAACCACACCCGTGGCTGTGTTCTCCAAGGTACTTCAGGGAAAACTGCCATACTTCCTTCAGACCCTATACTATCATTAAGGTTGAAAAAGACCTCTAATTTCCCCTAGTCTAACCATCAGCCTATCCCCACTATGACCACTAACTGCGGCACTCAGTGCCACATCCACACGACACCCCCAGGGCTTGTGACTCTACCACCTCCCTGGGCAGCCTGTTCTAATTCGTCACCACTATTGCTGAGAAGAAATTTTTCCTAATATCCAACCTGGACCTCCCCAATACAACTTAAAGGCCATTACTTCTCATCCTGTCATTTTGCAGAAATAGAATTGTTTCTAAAAGCAAAAAAGACAAATTTAAACATTAAAAGCTCTAACACCTGGATCTGCTAAAAGCATGGTGCACCTTAAACTGACAAGTTAAGAAGCAAACAAAGTTTTACACAGCTCACAGGTCACAAAAGTGAATTAAGCAAGAATCATAACGAGATGGGAACAAGAGGTTGAGGAATTTGTAAACCATGAGAGATTTCAAAACAGTTTTGCAGCTAGAGGGTGAAGGGGAGGTATGAGTAAATAAAACCTTCTGCTCATATGTGGGTGATTATTCTTCCTTTAACGTGAGATTTCCACACAGGTTTTTTGCATTCTGTAAGTTACTTAATACTCTGTTCTCTTTAACTTTGAAACTCAATAAAAGCAGTTTTGTCAAAATAAATAAATAGTTTTCCTTGAAAAGCTCGTGCATTCTCAAAGTGGTGTTCAGATGTCACTGAATTTAACTTTCAAGAGACAGAGCAGAGGCATATAAATATTTTTAGGTTACCCACCCGTAATTAAGTTGTGGTTGATCTGCCCTCCTAAAGAGCCAAGAAGGCGAGCCACTCTAGTCCTCACTGCTTCCAAGGAGGGACTGTCATCCTGAATAATTCAGAAGATTGATATTAATGAAGGAAGAATTATGTCAGTGTACAGATAAGTTGGTTGACGAAGTGAATTAAGGATTAATAGCACTTATTAGTGTATGGATGAAGAAGGAACAGTAAAGAAAAGAGAAGGAGCAGCATCAAACAAAAGAGCAGCATTAGTTTCAATAAGCAGAAGGAAACACTGGAAAACACCTTCAAGACATTCCGTGGTCTTTCAGTTACCACTTCTCAAGTAATGGTTAAAATTTTATCAGCACAGGTAAAATGAAATAATCTGTAAAGTGATAAGAAATCTGAAGTAAAAATTATACTTTTCACATACTTTAACCCAAGAACCTAAAATGTATGTTTTTAACAGCCTGTGTGGGATATAAAATTTATTTATTTTCTTTAAAGACCACTAAGTTGAGAAGAGTTACATAATACATGTAGAAGTATTTCTTTCATACCTAAAAAAGTATTTATTCCAAGTAAGTTTGCACCTGGCATATACAAATAAGACTATACTTATTTGGAGCTACTTGGAAGACACCGGTCAAAATGACTGGTATGTTTGACTTCTAAGACTGAACCAATTCACAAGGTAATAACAACAGAAAGTTACACATTCAAATAGCAAGTATGCACAAATAGCATTTTGTGTGTGCAAACCAGTATCTGATGTGTATGGAGTCAAACTGTTAAGTCAGAATCACTACCAGACTAATGTATAATGAAACCAAACATTTCTGGAATTTCCCCTTCCCTGCATCACTCTCATTCTCACCCTAGAATGTGAAATCTTTCCAACTGTGCTGATGTGATGGCACTCTGAGCCACACTGTTAAAGGGGTTTCACCAAATTGACTGATTTAAGGTAAAAAATAACCTCAAGAAAAGGAGAAGCATATGAGAGAGGATGAGATGCACAGCAAAGTGATTAATTCACTTTCAACTCTAAAAAGCATCAATGTTCTTACCAATGAAGAAGTTTTTGCTTTTCTTAAACGCTGTATCACAATTTTGTTAAATCCTTTCTGGGCTGCTCGGGAAAGCTTCCTTACTTCCCAGTTATTTTGGGGTTCAACTGATTAAAAAAAGCAGCATATAAGTATTATCTTAGTATACCTGCACCTCATGCAAGTACTCATGGTTTCTTAAAACAAACAACCACAACAAACAACAGCAAAAAAAACACCAAAATCTTAGTTCAAAAATAATGGTGAACTTCTGGGGGTAAGAGAAATGATATTTTTCCAACTACATGAACCTCAATATAGACAAAAAAAGTATGTAACATTCAAGTCTCTAGGCATAACTATGAAGAATTAATTGCCCATACATACCTGTACTTGCAGAGCTTTTCAAATAACCATCAAGAAGAGGTAGCACATCCTTATAATAAGGTTGCATTATATGCCTGGGGATGTGAGCTGACCAATCTTCCAAAGCATCCAGTCCCAGATCAGCCATTGGTGTACAGCTAAGGCCCAGCTTAAATGCATTCTGTGTGTCAAATGTAAAACCATCAGTTCTCCTTTTTAATGACTATTATAATTTAAAGGGAGATACCATATTTGCAAGCTCTGAGCATATAAAACATCTTCCTTCCTAGCAACTTTTGTCAGCTCAATTTCTCACTCAGAATCAGCACAGGAGATATCTGTTCCACTGTAATGCAGGCACTAAAAGAGTCAGTCAAGTACAAAGGCATACTCAGACAATTTACTTCTTTATCCACAAAAACAACCCATTTCTACTTGGTCATGCTGGAGATAATGCAAAGTTTGATGGTTACTAACTTTGCTCCAAAAATTTGGTACATGTTTTAGAAGGAAAAAAAATTAACTACACATCGCTTTGACCTACCTGCAGTGCAGGAATATAAGCTTTGATATCAAGCATGATGATGTCATGGGGTAAAGAAAGTAAAAAGTTTAGACAGGATGCCAACAACTCATCTTTATACTGTTTCATTTTTGCTGTAACCTAAAATTCAGAAAAATACACCAAGAACAGTCATAAACTTAACAAGATCTTGATATTACCTATATTAATATCCATGTAAAATACACAACTCAAAAACAATACTGGAATGTAATCCACCTGCAGATGTTTATCATGAAGTATTTAATGCAAAATTATCTTGATGCAGAAATGAGAAATAACTCAGTGATCAATATACTGTTACTGAAACTGAGAACAAACACAGAAAGAGTAAGATTTTAAAACCCTCTTATACTGTAAAATTCAAACAGCTGGAGTACTGCTATTAAATATATTGTACTATTTTTAAGAAGATACAATTTTGACTGAGTAACTTATGCTTATTTTCAGACTAAGTAAGCTAGCCAGCAAAATAACCTACCTCTTTTCCAAACTTCGCAAACAGGGCAAAGCAAGAACTCTTCTCAGGGTCTTCAGTAGCTTTTCTGAGACTCTTTGGACTGACACCCTACCAACAGAATCCACAAATCAACAGTGTTAAAATCTGTAGTAACATAGCACAAATACAAAGTACAAGTTGAACTCACAACAAATCTGTAACTGAAGAACTCTTTACCACTGAAAACTTAAAATGTATATTTATTCTCTCAAAGCTTAGTAGTACCATGAACACTTAATTTTCTACTTCCCTTTTCCTTCAGTAAGTCATAAAAGAAAAAGAAAAAGAAAACCCCTAAGTGTGATTGTGCAGGTGGCAAGAAAGCAGCTCACAACAGCATCAACAGTACCAACATATTTGTTGGGATCCAATTCTGCTTCACTTGGCACCTATTACCAGCAGCAGCAAGAACAGTTCTGGGTTCTGTGAGGAGCTACACAAAATGGGATGAAACACTGTCACTGTACAATAGCTGTCATATCAGAAACAGCACATCCACTTTCTGTGGAAATCAATGGGCAAGATACTACATGTACACTGAAGAGGTTGAATAATTAACCCAAATATGTCTCTTCTGTTATAACTAGACTGTTCCCAATAACCAAACTATCTTCTGTCTGCATGGCAAGCATGCTTTCCCCATTGCTCTGCTCACCCTGCTCTGCATTTTGAAACAAGCATTACATATGGATTGTGTTTCTTCAGAAACAGAGCTTCTAGTCTAGTTGTTGGATTCCTATGCACTTTTACCTGCAAAGGATGCCAAAAACATCGGAAGCCAGCCGATACCCAGATAACTGGGTAACAGTTATAATGAACTTTTGGCACTGTACATACATGCATAAAATAGTTATATAAAGAACTGTCCCACCAGTAATGAAACACACTACATCTGCAATGGGAAAAGAGATCTCACCTCAAAGTATTTTATTTTCTTGGCAATCTTCATTGTAACAGAAAGCAGCTTGTAAAATCCACTGATAAGAGGTAGTCTCGTTGAATGTACAATAAGCTCGTAACCAAAGGAATAAACCCAAGGCTGAAAGTATTCAACATGTTTATCTGGAAGTATGTCTCTAAAACAGACACACAAATCATATGGAAAAAAAAATGGGGGGAGGGGAAGAAAAAGTGTTTTATTCAAACATAATTTTTTCTCTTCCCAAACTTTCAAGTTAGTACCAGGAAGACAAGCACTGTAGCTAAAATGCACCTCCAAAGACAGCAAGGTACTAATTACACGTCACCGTCCAAGGTAACCATAAGAAGATTTTTATTTTGCTTCATAGTGCAAAGCAAATTCTTCCTCCTTACACCTCACTATGAAATTTGTACAAACACACAAACATACCACATTTCATTACCAAAATAGACTGCAGTATTGCTATAGGAAATCAGCTGGACCTTCACTGACAAGCAACACTGTACCTTTCACTTAACACCTGATACTACCCAAAGACAACCATTTCTGGTCTCTGAAGTAATTACTGTATATATGGCCAGTGTAATATGTGAAGTTACAACATGTCTTGAAAGATAATTACAACCAAATAATCAAATGATGTTTCCTGTTCTCCAGATGAGCTAGCATATTTTTACCCACATCTCAGATGTCTGAAACAGTTTTCCAGCTAATCACAACTCTGAAATATTGATTATGGTCAGAAATATGCTCTTAAATAAAACTCCCTCTAAATTCCTTCCAATCATTTTGTAACTTTTTAACTACACAAAGATATATTAGTACCTGCAGAATTCTACCAGGTTTATAAAGGCAATAAAGTCCGTAGGTTTCTTTGGCTGAAGGTTCGAAGTAGGGTCAGAAGTAGGTCCAATAAAAGCATTGTCAGTTTCATTTTCATCCTAAAATGAAATATTGAAACAAGAACACTGGATCTCAAACAACACAGAAATCATTTACACCATTTTTTCAGATAAACAGTATGGCTCTTCTGCTTTTTGTAGTTGTTACAATCTAATCTGCCACAAACAACTGACGATTGGCATATCAATAATTAATAAAAAAGTAAGAAATAGTTGTTAATAAGGAAAAAGTGAGTACAAAACCAAAATCCACTAGATACCAGAGTAAAGTCTATAACAATGGATCCTATCACCTACTTCTGAATCTTATATTTCCATCTCCTAATACTGCAGTGCAATATCAAAAAGTATGAAGTAAATTGTTTTAACAAATATGACTATTACTTCAAAGGCATTATAAGGAGCTATATAATCATAATGAAAACAAAACAAGGATTGTGATCTTGGTTGTCATCGGGTCTCACCTGCTCGTGGACATTCAGTTTCTGAACAGTCAGATCCAACTTCTCAATAATCTTCAAAATAGATTTTATGAGTTCATCATACAGCAATCGATTCAGAGACTGCAGTGCTGAATTTCCAGTAAGAAAGTTTTCTTCTTCAAAAATGGATTCCTTTGTAAGAGGAAGAAGATTTGTGTTTCAAAACAGCAATAAGAACTAATTATTGAATTTACAAACCAAGGCTTGAAAGATTTAGACAATCTGGCTTTAAAGGTTTCTTATGCTATAGAAGCCTAAGTTTATCCCTGTTTAATTAATTTATCAGTGACAAAATTCAACAAAAATCAAGAAGTTATTCTGCAGCAGGACATTCAGAACAAGTCTGAGGTTAGAAAAGCAACAGTAAGTCTCAGGGTTACTTTTCATCTTGGTTACCATATTAACTATGTCTTTACCTTCATCATGTCACAGCTCAGTAAACTTCTGAAGAGATACAAATAGTCCTTATAGGTTGGTACTTTCCATTTTGCTGTCTCAACTTCTCCAGATTCTGGGAAGTCTTCTGATCCAGAAGTTTCTTTTCCGAAAACATCCTGAAAGGACACAGTACTTTTCAAAAACACTGTATAACATATAGCACCCTGACTCAAGCTAAAACAGCATATAAAATTACTTGTGTATGTAGAAACCTGAAACATTTGACTTTCTTATTTAACCAATCTGAAAAGAACAGAAAAGCATCATCTTTTAAAAATTCTAAGTCCTTCCAGTGATCAGTTATGTGAGAGATTCCTGCTGCACAGGATTTGAGAGCTTTACCATCCTCTTGACAGGAACACTGAGGAAAAACTTTTCAAGTTTCCAAATTTTACTAGCCTGGAAGAAAGCTGGGTGACCTTAATCATAACCTCCTTAGATTACCTAAGCAAAGAACTCCAGAGAACAAATACATATTCCCTGCTATAACACGCATTACAAGAGAAACATTGTTATTGTGCTAATGTAGGGACCAGAAACAAGTAACAAAAGGGATGAAACAAGACGACAGTACAATTCCTGGTTTTAGACCTTTCTCTGTTTACTGTACTAGATGTCCAAGAACTGTTTATTATGTCCAAGAATGTCCAAGATGTCCAAGAATTGTTTATTATAAAAATTTAGATGAAATATATTTTAAAAGTTATTTTACCTTTGAAAACGTCATTGGCTTGGAGAATACTCTGATTAATCCCTGATGCACTGCAACAAAATAAAATAAAATCAGCTGCACAGCACATTCCAAATCACAAACAAGGAAAACAATGAAAAAACCATGATAACAGAAAAGCCACTGTAAAATAACTGAGAAACTAAAAATCATTATAACAAAATGTCAGCATGCTGGAAACTACTAGAATTGCCAGCTACCAATACTATCACACTTAGAATCTTAGTAACTGCATATTTGAAATTTTCATATTTTACTGTGAACAACTTTGAGAGCTTAAAATACACGCATTTCTAATATAGGTGATGCTGTCCCTACCCTCTGTGATATTTTATAAGTGTAACTGAAAGAATACTGAACAGATTTTTGTACATTTTTTGTGAAAGCTTTCCTATCCTTCAGACAATATATTCCCCTACCTTTGATCACCAGCACACTGTCAGCTAAAGCAAAGTACTTCCTAAGTGATTTAGCAATGGACTTAAACCCCCCAAATTCCTCCCCTCCAACTCCCCATCCTTCCCCCCCACCAAAAAAAATAGGAACACAATAAAAACCCTATTTTTTCATTATTAATGTTTCCTTTCTGACCCCAAATGGCTCTTCTGTAAAACTGTTAGAAATAGTTTATCATTAAGGGGGAGGAAAAAAAAAAAATCAAAACGAAGTTAATATCACAGACTCACCAACCGTGCCAATGAAACTCCAGAGAACAGGACCTTTTATTGAGAGGGCTAGAAACACCTTTATTATAGATCTGCAACAGACTAACTGCATTTTTTCACTGTATTGTGGAAAGCTATTGATTTGTAGCACAACTAGATGTTCAAGAACTGGAGTGTACACTTCTGGAATCTGGAAGAAAAAAGCAAAAAAACATATGAATACAACAAAACAGGGTTGCAAGAGTTTACACTGTGGCCTATTCTAAGAGACAGTAGAAGATTTAGCAGGCAAATTTATCTTAGACATTGAGAAAATGAGAAAATTTCCTGGAGCACATGATAAAAAGTGGTTCCTGAGCAGTTTAGAACACCAAAGGAGCCCATTGTAATCTTATTAGGGAAGTACCATTTAAACAAGAAAAATACAGCAGCACAATCTGTTCATCCTTAATCTGAAAACAGAATCAAAATAATCTCCACCTTAGCCTCACTTCCCAGCTTCAGAAAGGATACTGAAAACCCTCATTAGAACTCAGACAATACACAGCAACAGAGGAAACTCAAAGTATCAGCCTCGGAGAATATACTAAGTATAAGGACCAAAAGATTTCAGTACATTCTAAAAAGTTAAATTAAGGAGCAGTATATTTCATGCATTTTCTCTATTCAAATAAACTCTAGTATTCTCCTGATATTCTCCCACCCTCTAGGAGCTAAAGCCATAATATTTCAAATAATGAAATACCTTCCATCATAGGTATTATAAGTTCACTGTTACTACCTTCTCATACATTGCAGGTTGCATTAAAAACTTTTTTGACTGGAACTTTAAATGCTCCACTTACTTTGTCTAAATGGAATATCACACTTGCTATGGACTGGAGGAAACTTGGAAGCTGATACAGACGGTCATCCACTGTCTCTCCCTCTGTGAGGTACATTTGCTTACAGCGCTGCAGGAGCTCAACATACATGGCATCAACATCTGTAGGATGTACAGCTTTGCAGGGCTTACAGAGAGAAAACAAAACACCACTTAGCAACTTCGCACAAGCAAGCAAACATGCTGTAGCACTAAAAACAAGTCAAGTCTCCACTGAAACAATTGTAACAATAATCATTTTGAATTCCCCATGAAATCAGTATCTCTGAGTAGGCTTCGGAATTCTGCTTTAAACATATCAAATAGGGCATTACAGATGCTAATACTGAGCTTAACATTTGAGCTAGCTGCATGAAAGAAATGCGACGCACCTTAATGGCATTCCAATTATCACTCACAGGCTACAACAACATTTAACCCAGCAGCCTGAATTCTGAACTTCTGTAATGCCAGGTTCTACATAAATAGAGGATAAAAGACTACTTCTAAACTTACTCAAGCAGAGTGCATCCCAGACAACACCAGGGGGTACATAATAATGCTCACTGCAACTTACGTATCATTCTATAGGTATCTGTATTTAGCATAAGCTAGGTCTAAAAGCAATCTTAGGGAAAAAAGAACCAAGAAACAGGACACAGGCAAAACCAGTCACAGGAAACTGACAGTAGAAGAATAACAGACTGATTTAGGCAACAATGGAAAATAAAAGTTAGGCTAAAGGCTGAATCTGATCTGCTTAAGAAGAGAGTAACAAAGATCATCCATTGATCACTTGTAGAACTGTTTTTTCTGTAATGTTATGAAGTAATTAGTAAGCTCAGAATTATCTTAGTATTTAGACTGTGAAATAGTCTACTTTGAACCTGAACCCACCACTCAATATATGTTGTCTGCAATTACTCATTGCAGTGGCAGCAAGACTTGCTTCGTCACCTAGCATCTGAAACTTGACCAAGATTCAGTTTAAACAGGCCAACAGCTATTAGTGTTTCTAACTAAAGATCTATGCACATTAAAGATTTACAGGTATTTCAGTATTGAGATTCGTCTTAAAAAAGTTTAAAGTTTTCAGAATTACACTATCTTTGTATTTAAATTATGTACTTCTAATTAACTTCTTCTATTGCCTAACAGATATTTTTAATATGGTTAAAATTCAGTAATTTTAAATACTTAATTTATAACTCATTCCTTTCTAGGTCATATCCTAGAAGACTAAGCTGTAACAATGAACACTCAAAATTCTACAAAACAAATGCACTCTGCTCAAATTGCAGTAAAATGGAAAGAACTCAGCTAGGAACCAGCTACTCTATCACAGTACTACTGATTCTTAGGGGTGCATCTTAAAACAATTTGCTCTCCACATATATATAAACATGGTATATGAATCTTAGCTTTAAATCCATTCAATACACTGCTTTATCAGAACAAAATCCGTGCACATACTGCTGCAAATAGCCCATATCCACGAATAGCAATGGACAGCTCCTTGTTGCTCGAATCCATTCTTCTGATGATCCCATAGAACTGCTCCATAAAGAACTTCAATTTGCTCCTGTGTAGCTCTGCATCCTTCGCCACCATTAAAGACATCTGTAGAGCAGATATTAAAATGCCAGGATTTCCAGAAAATAACAATAAATCCTAAAACATACCTAGCTCATAATATGAAATATTTCAATCAAAATAATTACTAGATTCACTGAACTTGCAAGCAGCAAACATCCCCTCTCCTTCAAGAAATCTGACTTTGATTTAGCCTCAGAGATCCCAGGAAAGTTACAATACCTGCTTGAGGAATGAATCTAGTGCATTATGACCGGCTTTCTTCAGCTCTTGATTTGTGTGGCCACACCATCTACACATTGTTTCAAAGAGCATGACATAGCTGTCCAAGAGCAGGGTACCAAACTGAGCAGCATGCCAGCTGAACAACTGTAAACCAGCTGCAATTTTAAAACAATTATCATTAACAACTCAGTCTCATATTCCACTGTCTGAAAACAGGCAAGACAATTCAGGTGCACATCAGAACGTTAAGTGGGTATATTTACCATGACTGGAAGGCATAAAAGTGTATTTTTCTAACAATTATAGCACCAGTATCCAAACTCTGAAAACTTAAGCATAAAACCAACCTTCTAAGATCCCCTTCTTTTAATAGAAAGCATAGCATTGTTCTCAGATTATCAACAGTAAAAAAACTAAGGGACTTCACTCATTGCAAATAACTGATCACACAGTTCACAAGGATTTGGTCTGGTTTTGTGCTGAGGACATATCCTCAAGTCTACTCCTCCTCCAAATTGCTCAGAACACAGGTAATTTCACAATCTCAAACTTAGGCATAAATTAAATTTTAAGATCTGTAAGAACGTAACTGTTCTACCTAGTCAGACACCTTTAAAGAAGGCTTTACACTTCACAGTTGCCAAGGGCCAAGTGCTGAAATATCACATTTTAGCATTTTCTGAATAAGCCATTGACATTTCACAGGTCAGTTTCTCATTCTCTTCGCAGGTTTTGTTTGTTCCCAGCTTCCCTCTTTTTTCCTCCTAGTTTGCTACATAGCTCTTCTTTCTACTCCTAGCCTTCTCATACCACAGTTTTGTATTCACTGCAGAAGGGCAAATGGCATCAAGTATAATTCTGATCATAAGTCAATTACATTGTATTTAGTTTAACCACATACACATTTAATTCTTTAGATTCCAACCTAAAGTATCCAGTTTTGCTCCCTGATAAGCTTAGAAGACAAGACTGGAAAGACCAGGAGAGAGCCAATAGAGAACAAACATCTCCTGAAAGAATAATTAATTGCACGAGTGGTAGAGCGCAAAGTATGAACCAAAATAATTTACAGTCTTACCTAAATGTACTGCATATCGCTTCTGATCAACCTTAATATGGAAATTAAAAAAAAAAGTCATCAATAAGCAAATTATTATTCATCGAATGAATTTATTAGCTGAATAATACAATAAACATATTGAAAGAACAATTAATATACGGCAGATCTACCTGTGGCCTGATAGCCTTCACTGCAAAATCAAAAATTTCCTTTGAAGTTTGAGCATCTGTGAAACAAACCAATAAGTATTTTATTACTGACACGCAAAAGGTTACCTGTAGACAAAGATACTTTTACCCAAAGGTTGATACAAAAAAAATAGGATTGGAAAACTTTAAGTATCTCAAGGAGCATGGATGTTTTTGTTTTTTTTTTCTGAAATACTTGCAGCTATGACAAAAAAGCTACACCTGCATTCAGTCTCTTCTAAAGGAAACATATCTGCATAACTGGCACTCCAGCTTCAGTGTACCTCTCTATGCTGTCCACCTCTGGTTAGAAAGTAGCACTTTCTAACTTTGAACCTTTACAAACAGAAACACCATAATCAAGCCATCCCACATGCAGACAGACCCGAGGACCATGTAGCTGGATAGGCCTTGCTTTCACATAAGTCATCTAACACTGGGGAATTTTTTGTTGTGTGCTCAGAACAAGGAACAGTGCTGTTTGCTGGCTGTATAACAATTAGCTGTCTTTTATACAGAAAAACTACATACCTTCATCCACAGACTTGGTAAAGTTGTACATGAGTGCAGTCAGTCCCCTCAGGCATCCTGCTACAACAGGTAGCTTGGGGACCCTTGTAGCTGATGTCATCTAAATCAAATGAGAATTGAAAAATATAAATAGATATATCCTCAAGCCAAAATAAACTTACATCCTTTCTCAGTTCCTAGAAGTGTAGTTAAAGTAACACCCTCTAACTGTCAGTACCCATAGCAACAAATATAAGTTGAAAGAAACATCCACTACTCAGAAATTCCAAATAAGTTGGAAAGGTGTTAAACTACAAAAGAATAAGAAATCTTTCGACAAGTATAAATACGCTCCATCAAGGCCAACCATAGCAAAATTTAGATTAGGACATACTAACTTCTCGAATGTAAACAATAAAGCAAAGTGAAGCCAACAGAACTGTAATATTTCCCAAAAGTGCAAGGATTTGGCAGCCAGTAGAGCCCAAATCAGAAGCTTTGAGTGAGTGGCAATGTAACTTTGCTCTGGTACTACTGCAGCGACCACTATGTGTCATCTTTTCTTACAGTAAATTTGATCATTTGCTGACTAATGGCCTTAAAATTTCTACTTTGAAAACTTTTCAGAACTGGAGAACTAAAACAGTCCCTAAGGAAGCATTTATGCTCATCCAGTTAGATCTCTATAAGATGTAGATACAATACTAACCCAACATACAGCACTACCTACACCAAATGAAAACAAACAAACAACAAACAAAAAAGCAATGAAAGAGCCTGAAAAGAAGTTCCAGACATACCTGTGTTTTAAGCTCTCCCAAATACGCTCGGAATAGTTTTTCAGAGTTGTTAATCATGTCAGTAGGATGGACTTCTCCCAAAACTCCCAAAAGCTCATAGATCTTCTCAAGTACTAGAAAGTAATTTAATATTCCTAAATATTACTTCCTTTGTCATTTCCATTGCAATTATTGCATAACTTGCAACTACAAGAAAACCATTCCTGAGGATTTTATTTATTTAATGATTAGCATGTGGGAAGGCTGGCTCTTTATGGCACACATAAATACATACCTATATATCTATACAATATGATGTCAGATGCATTCTTATTTCACATTAATAAATAAATATATTCTTTTTTAAAAGGGCTTAGAAAAATGATTAATAAACGCCACATCCACAGAGGAAGCATTTAGCACCAGTTCAAGGTTGCTGCTGGCCTTCAGGTTATTCCCAGTCTTCTAAGTACCACTGGGGTTAAGGCCAACAGCTAGCAGAAGTTACTGAGCTTGAGTTCAGTCTAACTGGGTTCTGCACATGCACAGCAGGCTTTGTAAAGGATAGACCTGTCAAGGCAAAATCTTAACTGAAACCGAAAGGCCATCAGACTAGAGCTCCTGTCAACATGCTTAATATGGTAAAAAATATAAGTAAGCAAGGCAGAGACTGATGATCTCACATTAGAGTTGATCACTGCAGGAACTATCAAACTAAAACTGCACCTCTGTGGCACCTCTGGGGAACAACAGTTGTTAGGGTTGAATAAGGTTATGACAAGCTTTAGTCAACAACTGGCAATTACATGAAATTCCATAGGGACTGGTAGCCTGGAAGTTACTCTTTTTTGATAAAAACTCAAATGTACAGGGCTAGTTACGCATTTTGTTATGAAGTGGGTACAGTACTAGCCTGTAAGGTTCAGCTACCCTGGGTTAGCAGTGAGCCTAGAAAAAAATCTAATAGCCTAGGCAAACAATCACAGAATGGCTTAGGTTGGAAGGGACCCCCAAAGATCATTAAATTCCAACCCCCCTGCCACAGGCAGGGCCACCAACCTAAATAAGTTGGTTTATACCAAGAAAGCTGGAATTACTGCTAAGATTTAGGCATTCAGAGACACACATTCTTTTACATCGCTAATGTAAAATGATATATACATTACCACTGCTCAACTGAATTATCTAACTGTTCCCATCTATAGCTTACACATATATGCAGGTCTGCTAAGAACAGCAAACTGCATGACCACAATCAGAAAACCTGAAAAAATTTTACTAGCTCTAAAATATGACAGCTACCATTTCGAAACACACTTGCCATGGGAATACAATTCCAATTCGTGTGGGGAATAATCAAATAAAACAAAGTAAATGAAACAAAAGACACAGGCAGGAGAACTAAAATCTACCTGTATCAGAAACTTTAGTTCTTATAGCAAGCTCCCCATAGAACTTATTAAAGATTTCCCCAACTTTCATCTCTTCCATCAGACAGGAACGTCGTAAGCTTTGGAGCAACTGGAATAAATAAATAACAAAGAAAAGTTAGGAAAATAATTAGGATTAGGATAGTGATTTTATTTAGACCAGATGGTCTAAATAAAAGCACAGTTCATAAGCACAACTTCAACTTAAATAAATCATTCAACAAAACAGGATTAAGGTAATTCATCCAGGAAAGAGCATTGGCATGAAATTTCTTAACCAGCTATCTTCCTATGAGTGCATAATAAATAAATCTTCACAGTTAGTATGCTATATTATGTTACACTTACTTTCATATAATACATACAGATCACATGAAAAGTACATAGTGTACACACACACGACAACATATACATGTGTATGGGAACTGCTGAGTCACGGCCTGAACCTCTGATTAATCACCTGAGGCAAGCAATGAGTCAGCCCTGGGAAAACAGGTGAAAGCAATTCACCTGTGCTGCAGGAAGGGGTGGAGCCTGGCTCCACCTCTCCTAGACCCATTTAAGAGCTGACTGCCAGTGGGGAAGGATCTCTCTCTCTTTGGAAGATCCACTCCACTGGTCTTTCCTGAGCAAGCCCACAACACAGGTAAGCATCCTATTGATTCTCTTTGTCTTGCTGTGCCTAATTCTCTTGCTTATTTTGTTATTATAACATCTTAATATTATTTGATTATATAATATTCCTTTATATAATTTTCATTCATTATACAACATGTAAAACAAAAAGCCACCACACATATGCTTATGAATGCCTGTAGCAGCCTTTACCACATTCTGTATTTTCCTGCTTTCAGCTGCACAGCCGAACTAACCTGTAGAAGAGCTGACTCAGACAACTCAGAAGAGAGCTTTGTTCCTCAGTAACACAACTCAGCAGATGCAAAAGCATTCACAGAACAAAGGTCTAAGCGCATTCGCAGGAAATACGTTACAAAATTGCTGTTGCACACAGCAGTAAGCATTCTGAAAAAGTTCTTTTCTTCCACTTTTCATGCACAGTAATACATTATATTGAGTAACAGAGTATTTTTAAGTTGAAAATTTCTCCTTAAAGAACCACGATAAACTGGAAAAGAGAAAATCCGTGACTCCCCCAAAGCAATTTGTCTTGCTTAGATGAAGCATGTGATTTCCTTAGATGAAGGAATTACATGTTTACATCTGAGCAACCTACTGTAGGAACATCAAAGTCAATTTGTCATTAAGACATATATTTTATTAACATCTAATATTGCACTATCAATATGCTTTTGCTGCTGTTGTGCACAGATTTCTGCTTGACATAGCAGAACTGCATCAATACAAAAGATTTTCAATTTTTTCTAGGAAAAAAAGAAGTTACAAAATACATTTTACCTTAATCAGAAGTTCCAGAGCTGGAATTTTACATTTTGCTGCCCTCTCCTTTGTATAAACACTAATGCAAGTTTGCTAGATAGAAAAAAAGAAAGATTATAATACTCATATATACCTGAAATGAACTAGTAGCAAACAAAATATTTACCTACCTTTTTAAAGTGTCTGATCCTAACAAATGGAAGATTATTTAAAGAGTTAAAACAACAAAGATATTAATCTGAAAGCAGTTCCATAGATGATATCTGATACAACAACAAACCCAGGTTCAAGCAAAGAAAGGGCATTCTCTGGAACTAAAGGCACACACAGCAAGCCTGCTGCCTCTAACCCCTCATTCCTCACAGCAAGCAGCTGCTAACTTGGTACCAGGAATCACACCATTACAGTCAAGCAGCTCAATGCAAAGCCACGGTGTGCAAGCTACCCCAGAATTAGAAATAGAATAGTTTCCACTAATTCCTGTGTACGTTGCAAGAATGGCAACATTTCAGGAGAAACTTTAGAACTAACTACCAGGACAGGAGCATTTAAAAAGTCATACACGTATAAGGGTACACGTACTTATATGTATCCTCCCCTGTACTCAACACTGGTGAGGCCGCACTTTGAGTACTGTGTTCAGTTCTGAGCCCCTCACTATAAGAAAGACATCAAGACCTTAGAGTGTGTCCAGAGAAGGGCAATGGAACTGGTGAGGGGTCTGGAAAATAAGTCTTATGGGGAGTGAATGAGGGAACTGAGATCCTTCAGTTTGGAGAAGGGGCAGCAAGGTGGAGGTCTATCTCTTCTCATAGGTGACAGTGATGAGAAGCGATGGCCTCAAGTTTTGCCAGGGGAGGTTCAAGTTGGATACTAGGAACAATTCCTTCTCAGAAAGAGTGGTGAGGCAATGACACAGGCTGCCCAGGGAGGAGGTGGAGTCACCATTCCTGGAGGTGTTCAAGAAGTGTAGAGGTGTGACACTGAGGGAATGGTCAGTGGGCATGGTAGGGATGGTTGATGGTTGGACTAGATGGTCTTAGAGGTCCTCTGCAACCTTAACAATTCTATTATATATATACACACATATATGTATGCCTATACATAAACTAAACCATGCATTTAATTGGTATAAATTATAAATTACTAACCACTATCTCCTAAAGAGCTGCTATTGTAAGTAACACAGAAAGTTTATAAAGAAACCATTGCACCCTGCTGTTGTGCTGACCACATCACACAGCACCTGGGTTTCTCTCAGCACCGGCAGAGCACTTTGCAGGTAGGACAGCCACTGTGAAGCCCACTGAGGGAACGGCATGAAGCTGTGTCAGGGGAGGGGCAGCTGGGGGTGAGGGAAAGGGTCTGTGCCAGAGGGTGGTGGGTATGGCCCCAAGTATCAGAGTTCAAGGAGCATTTGGACAATGCTCTCAGACAATGGGTTTGGATTTTGGGTGGTGCAGTGCGGAGCCAGGAGTTGGACCCAGTGATCACTGTGAGTTCATTCCAGTACGGAAGATTCAGCTCTGTGGCTCTATGCCCAAACCTGGACACAGCCCAAGCACCTGGCAGAGGTTCCTGGACAGCAGGTGCTGCTCACCCACCTTAAGGCTGCAGGCGTAAGGATGAACTCTCTCTCCAATCTTTTCCAAAAAGACGCAGAGAAACTTCAGCGCTTCTTCCCTGCATTCTCGAAACTGAAAGGGCAAAAGTTAAGAAACTCTGACAGCGCCCGGCTTGGCCGCACCCGGCAGAGCAGCTCGGTGCCGACCCACCTCCTCCACGCCGAGCGAGCGGCAGATGAAAGCCAGCAGGCCGCGCTCCGGGGCGAACACCAGGGAGACGTGCAGCGCTGCGGGGGAACGGACAGACGGTCGGACCTCGGCTCCCACGGCCGCCCTTCCCGCCCCACCCCAAGCCCCGGGCCGCACCCAGCGCGCCGCCGGCCGAGCAGGTGAGGCAGGCTTCGCCGAGGCCGCGCAGCAGCCCGTAGCCGCGCATGGCATCGCCGGGCTGCAGGCAGCCGTGCAGCTGCTGGAGGCACTCCTGCACGCCGCCCGCCATCCTGCTCAGTGCGCACAGCGGGCCGGGAGGGGCCGCCCCTCGGACCGACCCAACGCTGCCTGGGGTGATGGGGGGAAGGCGGCTCTGTTGTATCCGGGTTGGCGCACTCTGAGGAAGGAGAACGGCGGGCAAATTCTGGGCGGAACGTTTCAGTAGGGCAAGGACGTGTGGAGAAGCGCCACGTAGGGTTTTTATCTCTCCGGAAAGTTGCCTGTACCGACCAGCAAGCATCACCCTCCCGCCTTCACGGAGAATGGGCCGCTCCCCCCGGCCCGCCCGCAGGACTCGTTTTGCCGCGAAACTTGATCAACCGAGGGCGGTACCACTCCGCGCTGAGGGGGGATGCGCCGTTCGACCCACGGCGATTAGCGTTCCGTGGGACGGCGAGAGGCCCGCACCGTGCTGCCGCCCGCACTGTGAGCCTTCAGGCAGGACAGCACCGCGATCCCGAGGGCCCGATGTGATCACCTCCTTCCGCCTTCCCTTCTGCGGACCGAGTTCCCCCTTTCCCTATCAGGTGGGAGATCCCGCGGCCGCTGCGCGCACCCATTGGCCAGAAAGCCCGCGAGAGCGCGGCCACGTGACTCTGGCGGCGCGGGAGTTCTCCGGTCTGCGGAGCGTGGGGGTGCGCGATCGGTGCTGCGCGGGGCGTAGGGGGAGCGCCGCCATTTTGGGGTTCAGCCGCCGCCAGCGCTCCTCTCCCGCGGTAGGATCGTCGTGGCAGCACTATGTCGTCTCCCGCCTCCACTCCCAGCCGCCGGCGCGGCAAGCGCGGGCGAGGTAGCAACCCGCCGACCCGTAAGTGCTGGGGGCCGGGGGGGGGGAGGCGAGGAAGAGGGGGCGAGTCTCTGACCGCGCTGCTCGTGTCCCGCAGCGCAAGATGCCCGCTCCCCTCCCTCGCAGAGGCGCCGCCCGGACGACTCCGCTTCCACCGGAGAGCTGCAGCCGCTGCCCACCTCCCCGCCTGCCGAGCAGAGCCCGCGAGCTCCCGACGCCCTCTTCTCCAGTCCACCGCAGTTCCGCCACTCGGGTGCGTTCCCTCCGTCGGTCGGGTTGGAGCTGGGCAGCGGGAGGGGGCTGTGTACTCGTCAATAGGGTGCCGTGTTGGTTTTAAAAGATTTTTCTGCCTTTGCGAGGTGTTTTGTTTTGTAGTAGGATTACCTTATAGTTGTTAATTGCATCACCCTGCTGCTACGGAAGCACTGAAAAATGGGTTTGTTTCAACTGAAATGCTGCATTTGGACTCTATGCTTAAGTATCAGTGTGCTTTCAAAACGCTGTGGTGCTTTAAAGTCACTTCCTACGACTTGTGGTTTTTCAGAAGAGATCAAAAGAGGGAGTGGCAGCAGGGTGGGAGGTGATCGTCCACCTCTGCTCTGCCCTCCTGAGGCTCCATCTGTAGTACTGTGTCTGGGTCTGGGGCATCCAGCAAAAAAAGATGCAGAGATGTTGAGTGGATCCAGAGGCAGGCCACAAAGATGGTCAGAGGGCTGAAGCACCTATGCAAGCTGGGCTTGTTCAGCCAGGAGAAGAGAATGCTCTGGGGAGACCTCATTATGGCCTTCTAGTACTTGAGGGGAGCTTACAAGTGGGAGGGAGGCTGACTTCTTACATAGTCTGATAGTGATAGCAGAAGGGGGAATGGCTTTAAACTAAAAGAGAGGACACTTAGGTTAGATGTTAGGCAGAAATCCTTTACTCAGGGTGGTGAGCTGCTGGCACAGCTGCCCAGAGAAGTTGTGGGTGTCCCATCTTTGGAGGCTGTCAAGGCCAAGTTGGATGGGGCCCTGAGCAGCTGAGTTGGCTGGGGGCAGCCCTGCACACGGCAGGGGGTGGGACTGGGTGGGCTTTAAAGTCTCTTTCAACCCAAGCCATTCTGTGATCTCTACAAAGAAAGATGCTCAGTAGACGCGTGACATCACTGCTGTTCTGGTGTTAGCAGAGACTGGAGCTGATAGCTGCTGTTCACTTGATGGCAGCAGAATTAGAAGAATGAATCGGAAATACCCAGGCAGAATCTTAGTCCTGCTTTCAGTGTAAAGTGATGGCTTGGTAGCCCTGACGGAGCACTCTCTTTGCAGCTATTCCTCTGGACTTCGATATCAGCTCACCGCTGACCTATGGCACGCCCAGCTCCCGGGTGGAAGGCACCCCACGCAGCGGCGTGCGGGGGACGCCTGTCAGGCAGCGGCCCGACCTCGGCTCTGTCCGCAAGGCCAGACAGGTCGACCTGCACTCAGATGGGGTAGGTGGACACTTCTGGTTTGTGTCTGACAATTCCTTTCATAGCAGCTTCCTGTATTTGTGTACTTTTCATTTTCTTCTCTGCAGCAAGCTGAGGATCTAGCTGAGCAGTCCCTTGGACAAAGGCTTGTTATCTGGGGAACAGATGTTAACGTAGCCTCCTGCAAAGAAAAGTTCCAGGTAAGTTAACGTTTTTTCTAAATGAAAAGCTAGTTTGTCTTGCACACATCAGTAGGGCTTCATACAAACTAAGGGTGTGTACATCTCAACTGAACTCATTTTTTCCTGTTGTCTTTGACATCCAGAAATTTCTTCAGCGTTTCATTGATCCAGTGGCAAAAGAGGATGAAGACATTGGCTTGGATCTCAACCAGCCACGCTATATGCAACGACTTGAAGAGGTACTTCTAACATATCAAAATGACGCGTTTGGGTTTTTTTCTTTTTTTTCTTTTACCTTATGTGCTGTCAAGCTAAAAATTTATTCTCAAATATCTTGCAGATTAATATGGTTGGGGAACCATTTCTGAATGTAAATTGTGACCATCTAAGAGCATTTGATGAAAATCTTTACAGGCAGCTCATCTGCTATCCTCAGGTGAAGTACTGCTCTTGTTTACTGGCTGTTAAGTGACTTCTTCATCTTTCTGTTTATGAAATATTTTTGCTTAAATGCGGGGTTTTATTTTCTATGTTCAGTGTAATTCTTCATTTTAATGTCTTATTTCATTATTTCATAGTAGTTAAAAGGTTTTAGATCTTGTGATAGGTGTCTCCTGCACATAAAATTAGCTGTTAAACTGCATTGTACCGAAGGCTCCATCATTTCTTTTGCAACAGTCAAATAAATCTGATTTAACAGTAAGTTGCCTGTTATGTAGCAAAATGCCAACTGTGTGTTCTTCTTTATTTTTTTTGACATGCCTGGCTGATCAGCGGCACTTTAAAATGTATTATGCAGAAATATTCTGTTAGGCTTGTGGCTTGCTAGTGCACGGTGGTTTTTTTCTGTTCTAAGCTTAAGTGTTCCTACCAATTTTACACAGGAAGTTATCCCAACGTTTGACATGGCTGCCAACGAGATCTTTTTTGATCGCTATCCTGATTCCATATTAGAACATCAAATTCAAGTACGGCCATACAATGCACTGAAGACTAGGAATATGAGAAGCCTAAACCCTGAAGGTAAACTTCTAAATTGCTGTGTTAGAAAACAATCTGAAGGATTTACAGAAGTTTATTGAATTCTAACACACAATTTATGTACAAACCACTTAAAACTGGACTTGTGGTCCATCCATACCAATGTCCTTCATTTTGCCTAGGTCTGTTTTGGAATCAAATGCTGTAGAATTCAAATGGAAAACATATCTCTAAAGAAAGTCTGTCACCAGCTACCTACATTCTGCAAGAGTAAAAGACTGTTTTGTATGAATACTCACTTATATTAGTATCATGATACCACATAGTTATGACAATTTTTGTTTTGTCTATGACAAAATAGTGATATCAAACTGGATGTCCGCTTCCCACTTAAAAAATAACGGGACGTAGATCTTCAAATGTTATTTTAAATTTAAAGATTGTGATGTGATGACATAAGTATCTGTATTTTGTAGACATCGATCAACTTATCACCATCAGCGGTATGGTGATCAGGAGTTCCCAGTTAATTCCTGAGATGCAAGAAGCATTCTTTAAGTGCCAGGTCTGCGCATTCACCACAAGAGTAGAAATTGACCGTGGCAGGATTGCTGAACCAGCAGTGTGCAAGAACTGTAACACAACGCACAGTATGGCTCTGATTCACAACAGATCCATGTTTTCTGACAAACAGATGGTATGTTGCGCTTTGATATTGGCTGAAACGAAGCTTTTTTCCAGTTTTTGCTTCCTCTCTCCCTAATTTCATCAGCAGTATGAAAGCATACATCTTGAGAAGGAATGTTTTGAAAACTGAGAAATGTTTTTCTCCCTTCTCATATATGAAAGAATTCAGTGAGAGCGTAAGCCCATACATGGGGGAAGAAATACAATGAAAGGATTAAATGAGATATTGGAATGGAACCCTCTTTACTCACAGTATGCCCACTTATATATCTGGACTAGATGAGCTTTTTCTATTAGCAACTTTTTAGCCATATGCATAATAATGAACAATTTTTGTTTTCACTGTCTTTTTTTTAAATTAGTATCAGTTTTGTTGTTTGGGAGCAGTTGTTTTGTTCTTGATCAGTGTTCCTAATTGAAAATGATGAGGAAAGCTGTGATAATACAAGCTCTTGTATGCCTTGTGTACAGTTTTCTTTTTTTGACATTAAACTTGGTTGTATTTGTTTTTCCTAGATCAAACTGCAGGAATCACCTGAAGATATGCCAGCCGGACAGACACCTCATACAGTTGCACTGTTTGCTCACAATGACCTTGTTGATAAAGTTCAACCAGGTGATAGAGTTAATGTCACAGGTAAAATTTACTTTTTATTATATGCATCTTCCTTCTTATCTGAACTGTAGTAGTTTAATCCATGAGTCTGCTTGTCTGGCAATGGAATGCTTCTTAGACAGCGTAATATGCATACAACAAATTCTGTGAAGTAGAAATGTGTTCTAACTTGCTTATTACTACCTACATTTGCTTGTTTGTAGCTTTGTATTTGCTGTGAGAAAGGCTTCCTTCTTTCAAGAGGTTTGTGTGTCCCCTGCAGGTGTAATCTGTCATTTTCAGTCTTTTCTTGGGCATTTCAGATAATTGTGAGGCTTTGCTCAAAACTAAATTATCTAGGGAAACCAGAAAATGGGTGGGAAACAACTTCAAAGACTTCCAGTGAGTCATTTCACAGTTCCAAATAGCATAGGTTTATGTGCTGTATGAGATGAATCTGCAGAAGTGAACTGTTACGCGTGAGAATGAGCTGGATAGGACCTGATGGGATGCACCCACAAGTGCTGAAGGAGTTGGCCAGTGTATTTGCATCTCCATTCAGTTATCCTTGAAAGGCCATGGACACTGGGGAAGATTGCTTAGGGGCTGGATGTCACACCTATGGCAAGGAGGACCTGGACAACTACAGGCCAGACAACATCATCTTGTCCCTAAGGAAGGTATTTAATAAACCAGGTCACCAGTTGGCTGTTCAGCCAGCACCTTCCTGGGATACACGTAGGGATGTTGCCAGCAGGTCAAGGGAGGTGATCCCTTCCCCTCTGCTCATCACTATTAAGGACATATTTGGAACGCTGGCTTTCCGATACACAAGAGACTTAGATATACTGATATGAATCTGGGGAAGGGATGTGATTTTGAGAACTGAAGACACATGAGGAAGGGCTGAGATAGCTGGGACTGTTAAGCCTGGAGAAGGGTCAGGGTACCAACTGTGTACTTACATCTGCTCAGTTATGAAGACTGAGAGATTCTTTGCAGTGGTGCTCAATGGTAACACATGAAGCACTTCATTTTCCCTCCAGGAAATTCTAATAAAGCAAAAAGAGAAGGTGTTTTTTATTAACGCATGGATGGTCAAGGCTTGGAGCAGGTTGTCCAAAGAGGCTGTGGAGTCTCTACCCTTGGAGATTGTCAGAACATGTCACAGTTGTAGTCAGTCTCCTCTAGCTGATTCCAGTTTGAGACCCCAGCTAGACCAGACAGTATGCAGAGGTCCCTTCTGATCTTGATGATTCTGTGTTTCTGAGAATGCAGGTAAGAAGGAGGCAGCCTCTTAAGTAGTGTCTGCAGTCAGAAGAGTGATAACATAGAATAAATAGGTCTTATGATATTTCAACTACATCTTAAAAAAGCAGCACCTTAAAACAACTATACTATCAGCCATTATAGATTAGATACATTATAAACCTGTTACTAAATTTGGCACTAAGCTAAAAGGTTAAATGCTGGCTTCAGGCTTTTTTTAGTGCCAGGACTTCCAAAAGCACCGAGCCTTCAATTTTATTCTTTCAATATTGCTTAACCCTTTTCATTGTTGAGAACACTTTGGCAGGAATGCTGAACATAGCAAACAAGCAAAGGTGCAAACAGCTTAAGTGTGTTCCATTATCTTCCAAGTGACTTACTGGTAGTGGGAAATAAACTGATTGAAGTCGCTAGTTCATTTTGAAGAGCTTTACTTTGCAAAGGAAAAACAAAGATATCAGTTTGAGAGTGAATATGTTTCTTTTATCTAATGCTGTCATTAATTGTATTTAGGTATCTACAGGGCAGTCCCAATTCGAGTTAATCCGAGGGTCAGCGTTGTAAAATCTGTCTATAAAACCCACATTGATGTCATACATTATCGCAAGACTGATTCAAAACGCCTGCATGGTGTTGATGAGGAAACAGAGCAAAAAATGTTTACAGAGGAACGTGTAGCACTTCTAAAAGAGCTGTCTACCAAAGCAGACATATACGAGAGACTTTCTTCAGCGCTGGCCCCAAGTATCTATGAGCATGAAGATATCAAAAAGGTAAAATGAATTGTGTTTTGCTTGTAAAACATTTCTGAAGTGCAAGTATACTTATTTGCTATAGAAATGAGACTTCATAATGTTAAACCAAAAAGAAAAAAAACAACCAAAACAATCCTGGATCTCAAGCAGTCTTAACATTATGAACTTGTCAGGATAGAGTTGGTTATTATTGTTTTCAGGATCAATCCAAGGGAAGATGTTGAAAAGGCAGAAAGACAGCAGAACTGGGAAAACAAACCGCAGTCAGTAGTGTGTCTCAAGGTATAAAAAGGCACTGCAACAAGCCTCCTTTGAATAATGTATTTCTCTTCACAGATGTGTGCATTGTCAGAGTCTATGGGCTGCTGAGATAGCAAGCAGTTTAAATTCAAGGCAACAATTTTCTCCTGAAATGGTCATACTGTCTTTTCTATTTTTTGTTACCTCCTTATAAAAGTTATACAGTGTATCAGTGTGTGCAGCTAGGTATAGTTGAGGAAAGCTAGGGAACCTTCACTGAGGGACACTGTTCACAGCAACATTCCAGACTTTTCTTTAATACTTGCAAGTGCCTGAGAACTAATATGAATAAGTCATTCCGTGCCTTTACTGTAAGGTTTCTGTGCTGAAAGAAATGTCAATAATTCTAGCTTACTCATAAGCTTAGAAGCCTATGTTTATACTAAAAATTTCAATACTTTTACAGTGTTAGATATTAGTTGCGTTTGTTTCCTTGCTAATGCTGCAGTTGTAGACTTTCTTTGGGAAGCGGAAAGGAGAAAGTACTGGCAAATTCCAAATAAATGAAAGCCTTAAACACTTAATTTATGCGCATCTAAAGAACTTCGTTTTACTTTGTGAATATTATCTTTTTTTCTTTTTTCTTAAAAGAAAATGCTTGATTTTTGTCTTGAATAAAAACCTGATAAAGCAATTTTCTTTTTTTTTTTTTAATGCTACAGAAGAGGTAATAATACTGTGGTCCTAGATTAAGTATAGCCTCAGCATAAGTAATGGTCTGTTCTGGCTTTCCAATTATCTGCAAAACTGGCTACTGAAATTGGAAGCTGTGTTGTCCTTACCAATATAACTGTATGTTTGTAATTAACTGAAGATATCTATAAAGGAAGAACCCTTTTTTACAATGAAAGTTCAGTTGGCTCTGTTAACTACAGAGCTGATATTTTGACTTTAAAGAGCACATCTGGTTTTTTTTACAGGGTATTCTACTTCAGCTCTTTGGAGGATCAAGAAAGGATTTCACTCACACAGGAAGAGGCAACTTCCGTGCAGAGATCAACATTCTTCTCTGCGGTGATCCTGGCACTAGTAAATCCCAGCTGCTCCAGTATGTGTATAACCTGGTTCCTCGAGGCCAGTATACCTCTGGGAAAGGCTCAAGTGCAGTTGGTCTTACTGCATATGTGATGAAGGATCCAGAAACTCGGCAGCTGGTTCTTCAGACGGGTGCTTTAGTACTCAGTGATAATGGAATTTGCTGCATTGATGAGTTTGATAAAATGAATGAAAGCACAAGATCAGTACTTCATGAAGTAATGGAACAACAGACTCTCTCCATTGCAAAGGTTAGTGTCTGCTTAAGTCCAAGTTCTTTGTTCTGAGCATCAACTCAGAGCAGATGAAACCAAGAAGTTACCAGAATTGGGGTTCGTACTTCCCTAATGTTGTCAGTGGATCAATCCTAAATTATGCAACATCTTGTTCTTATGTACACATGGCTATCCTTGCATAAACTGTATTATTTCCAGATGCTTTTCTTCTTGCTTTACTCTAGAAGGCTTCTGCAATGAATTTTTTTGATTATGAAACCCATTAAATAACACTGATTTTATGAAGGTTCTGAATCCAGAACTGCTTTTTCATTTTAACAGGCTGGAATCATTTGTCAACTGAACGCCCGTACATCTATTCTAGCAGCAGCTAACCCTATAGAATCACAATGGAATCCAAAAAAGACTACTATTGAAAACATACAGCTTCCTCACACGCTGTTATCAAGGTACTGAATACTCCTCATGTCTCTTTTTTTTTTTTTGTCCTGTTGTGAAAAGGATTCAGTATGGTAAAATCAGAATTGCAGCTTCTGCATGAGTGGAGAACTGCCTTCTAGCATATTCATCTTGAACAGAAGATCTGATAAAATCTGTAGATCTTTATTTTTGTTTTTGCTGTATTCTTTTGTTGTTTTTTTTTCCTTCCCCCTTATATCAAGATTATCCTCTGGAGGAGTTACCCTAAACCTTACAGTAGTTGGTAACTTGAACAGAAACCCAGCATGATCTTCATAACCCTGTATAAGTTTAAAGTGAAACACTGATGATTAGGGAACTTGCATTGGATGTTTGGATTCTAAAGTTCTGTGCCTGCTTGTTTTCATCCTGTGAAATTCAGTCAGGAAGGGGACAGAGGTAGTCTTGCACGGTGGCTGTTACAACAGCATTTAGCGTCTGCTGATGTAAAATTAAACTATGTACTATAATTGTGAGGAGTTCCTACACTAATTTAAAATCTGTGGATGGTATGCTGGATATTCTCAGAGCACCACTTATAGTTTAGAATTCAATCAAAGTCCTCTGATAGTAATGGGTAAGTAACTTAGTTGGGATATACTGGAGGAAACTGAGCGTGTCTTGTTTCTGCCATTTATTGGATTTAAGCTTTTGAAAATACATGACTGGCTAGCTAGAAAATTATTATTTGCAGTTATCTACAATGTTACCTACTGTTTGCAAAACTATTATGAAACTTTTTTTTTTTAATTCAGGTTTAAACTCCCAGATATTTTGTATTTATTTTAAATGAATATACATCTATATGCATATAGTGAATAGCTATGCACCCTGATTGCTGCTGCTTTCCAGGACTGTAGCTCTTGCAGTGAGTTTGTCCTTTGTTATTTGTTTAAAACTCCCAAATAAAAAAGACTGTCAGCCTTGAACTGAATTTCACAGAATGTATCTTGTCTTCAAAGTGCATACGTTGAAAGCAAATCCAAACTGATCTGAGGGTTGGACTCGATCTCTCCAGGTCTCTTACACCAGCTGCAGTTCTGCGATGTTTTGTGTTTAAAGGAGTTTGAGGAAAAAATACTCTTTCAGTTTAAAGAGTACCTTCCATTTATAGTAACATCTCCTAATTGTGGTGAAAAACCATAAAAGAAGCAGCTCTAAATTGCAGGAAAGTATACACATTCATATTTGATTCTTATCCCATTCAGATTTGACTTGATCTTTTTAATGTTGGACCCACGTGATGAAGCCTATGACAGACGTCTTGCTCGCCACTTAGTTTCACTGTACTATCAAAGTGAAGAAAGGCTGGAGGAGGAGTACATGGACATGGCAGTACTAAGAGATTACATTGCCTTTGCTCGTGGTTATATAAATCCCAGGTTAAGTGAGGAAGCAAGCCAAGCCCTTATTGAGGTAAAGTAATTGCTGTTGAGAATGTTCTAAGTCTTTGTTGAACTTCTCAAAGAGGGTAAAATGCTCGACTATTTCTGTTTCCTACCTATCAAAAACCTCTAAAAATCACAAGCTTTTAAAAGGAAAGGTGGAAGTACTGTGAAAGTAATTCTGTACTGTAATCCTTAGGTTACTTTTTGAGGCATTGGCTGCTTTTTATCATGTTTGAAGCATGTGGCTTTCCACAGTCCCTGATAGTAAGGGATAACAAACAAGGGATGAAAGAGACCTGTAAATTAGGGCAGTAACGGGATTTACTGAAATAGTTAACGCCTCTCTTGTTTTCAGGCATATGTGGACATGAGGAAGATTGGAAGTGGCAGGGGAATGGTTTCTGCATATCCTCGACAACTCGAATCTCTGATCCGACTGGCAGAAGCCCATGCTAAAGTACGTTTTTCTGAGAAAGTTGAAACCATTGATGTAGAAGAAGCAAAACGCCTTCATCGGGAAGCTTTGAAGCAGTCTGCTACTGACCCAAGGACTGGCATTGTGGACATATCCATCCTCACTACAGGTTTGTGTTGTAGGGATAAAAGTGAGATGTTTTGGTGCTTTTGTCACTTTTTAAATGTAACTTTAACTTAGTAGTATAAGGTGATTATTTTGTTGTTGTAAGGAATGAGCGCAACCGCTCGTAAGCGGAAAGAGGAGTTGGCTCAAGCCTTGAAGAAGCTTATCCAGTCGAAGGGTAAAACACCAGCTTTGAAGTATCAGCAGCTTTTTGAGGATCTCCGAGCACAGTCTGACACAGTAAGCTTCCTGATTTTTTTTCCTCCTTTTTTTTTTTACAGTTTCATTAATATAAAAGCATGGTATTTTTACAAATCAACGTAAACTCTTCCTCAAATCACATTGTTAATTTGACTGCAAAGCCAGTTTCGCTGCATGAGCTTTGATTTCTGAATCTTTGTTGCTTCAGAAGACGAGAAAAAAACAACTCGGCTACAGGGTTCCGGGCCAGATCTAAATTGCAGAACATATTCAAATTTATGGGGAAGGGAAGGAACCTTGATAAGAGAAGTGATAGAAAGTAAAGTATTTTAGTTGATTTTCTTTGTTTCCCTCCATCTTTACTTGATTTTTCTCTTTTCTTTTAGGCTGTCACTAAGGAGATGTTTGAGGAAGCACTTCGTGCCTTGGCTGATGATGACTTCTTGACTGTGACTGGAAAAACTGTTAGATTGCTGTAAGTTAGTCCTTCCTCGCAAGCTGGCTGTGGCTTTT